TGTACAGTATAAGGCCCAAAATCAAACTCAGGACCTAACTGCTGTGAAGTCACAGCACAAACAGCCACTTACAAAACCATCTTTAAAAATAAGCATGGTTTTTAAAACATACAATGAACTTCTCCCCATGTCCTTTCTGTTTCTCCTAGGATTACCGGAATGAAAAGAAAGTTTAATTGCATAATTTACCTCAAAGCTTGTATCAGTTTAAAGTAACAACACCCTTCTCCTTTATATGGCAAATGGACTCGCTATTTCATCCAAATAAAACCAGAATCCCATCACTACCTATTTTTGCGAAGCCTACTAAATACAAGGGTCTGTTTTTCTTCTCTGAAACAAATTAAATTTGCTGTATTTTCAAATTCTACAAAATGTTATTAGCGGAGAATTCATCCAAATTGAATTTCCTAGTATATTATTCTTTGCTCTTTGGAAGTGATTTAATTCCTGTGAAGTATGACCGAACAGTCATTCTTATCACTGGTTTTTCCAGTTATTTATATACTGTAATACTCAGTAACTAGGATACGCTGCACCAGCAATTTAAGACACAGTATATTGAGAATGTGATCCATGGCATCACATAATCTATACTGTAGCACTTAATCAAAAGTCAAAAATGCAATAAATCCAATCTCCTTTATTACAGTTTCCTGATTATTTTAGAAAATACACACAATCTCTCTTATTAGAGTTTCTTCTGATTCTTTCTGATGTGGTTAACACTTGAGATCTTTCATTGCACGCCTGCTAAAAGCAGCGACACGCGTTTGTAACATCTTCCCAAGTCTTGGGGGTCTGGAAAGCTGCAGGCGTTTGTCCTGCTTGTGTCACTTATGTCCAGTTTAACTTGCTTTCTGGTCAGGCTGAAGGCTTTTCTAGGATCCCCAGCAGATGAAGATCCAAGGAGAAATTTATGGAAAACCTTCTGGGCTGTGGCCAGAGAACGCAGGATGGGATCCCAAGGAGTAACTCCTTGGCTTGTACCTTGTCTTAGTCAAAATATCTGGAACCCAAGCATGCAAAATAAGAAACAAGAGTTTTCCATCTAATACTTTTAACTGAAAATGCATTAGATACACATGTGCCTGCAGTTTGAGATTGTAAGCCATCAGCCTGACAGTAAATGTGTTACTAAAAACCAGTGACAATCTGCTGTGTATAACTCTGACCCACTAAAACTGTGCTAGATGTACACACAGAGTCAACATAGACACATGAAAACTCAAACACATTTAGATTTTCTCCTTACTGCAAAGATGGGGGGTTTAAGTTACATGACATAAACTGCTGAAACTGATACCTTCAAGAAACAGCTAGAGGAGATCCTCAGATCAATGAGTTACCAGCTATCATATGGGCTAGGTAGGCCAGATGACCTCCTCTTGTTTGGCAATGTTTTTATTTCCATATGTTAAATTCTACTTTTTTGTCCAAATCATAGATGCTTTGCAAGGGAGCAAGGGAGTGTATTAGCCCATGAAAGAAGGATTTCAATTAATCAAATTAAAATGGCTTCAAATGAATCACATTAGTAGCAATAACAGATATAGTTAATCATAGATTCAATTTAGTAATTTCTGTAATTTGTCAAGTTGGAATTAACAGCAGAGTTACAGTTCAGTTGTTAAGACTCGACATGGACATATCATATTTTAACATATCACAGAATAAAGTGTTCTTTTATTCCTACCTTGTGACCTGTGTTCTTGTTCCAAAGTCTAGCATCCTCATTGACTGCAGCACTTCCACACAGCCAACGTACTGCAGACAAAGCACAAAACAGATATGAGCTGCCATTGAAACCCACTGAAACAGACCGTCTACACCCACATGCAGGAACTGTGCAGGTCATTTACCTGCTTAACACAACACTGGCAACTCATTAGCCCTCACAGCATGTCTGAAAGCAATTACTGCACTGACAGAGTGTCACATCAATAGCTTACATTCTGAAAACACCCCCCACCCCGAATTCCAAATCTATATACCCCCCCCCCAGCATGAAAAACCATTTGTAAATATATTTGTAAGTATCCCAGCCATGCATGTTAAGATGATGATTTAAATACTTCTATCTAGATTTTAGCTGTGCATGAAGAAGGCAGACTGAATCTGTATGTCAGTAGTGATTCAGGAGGAATCTAGAATAAGGGGATTAGAAGTGCAAGGTCAAGGGTCAAGTGAAGTGTGCGTGCTTCTTTGTGACGCATGCCGAGGGTGCCCACAGGAGTGGGAGACTTCCGCCCGCCTTTCCCTGCTCCTGCGCAATCATGCGGTGGTGTGGAGTGGAGTGGGAGAGCGTGGAAGGAGTTAAAATCGCCCACTCAGGCAGCTCGACTGCAGGAATTCGGAAAACTGCCATTACTGCTCTAACCTTGATGGGATGAAGCATTCACAAGAGTCGGTGAGTCATGCTGTGAGATCATACAAGGATGAGCTAGTGTGCGCCTGCATCCTGAGTCAGTGTGTGGGAGGCTACACCAAGCGCAGCTCCACAATCAATACGGTGGGCTTTTTTTCCGCTGTTGTTGTTTTATTTTGTTGTTGTTGTTTTTTTTGCAACAGTTTCACAGATCGTATAGCTGGCTCCTGAGACCTCTGGGCTTTAATCAACCACACAACAGCAGAATTAGGACTTATCTTGTCCTTTCTACTGTCACCTGCCTTTGAGAGAGACTCAAACTTGTCAGATACAGTGTTCTGTTTTCACGGGTAAAATTACAAATGAATGCAGGCCTATCAAGAGTAAATTTACACAATTTCTTTTTTTAGCTGGTAATTATCTGGAATCATCAGAGAACAGGAAGCTCTCTTTCCACACTCTTTGTCTAATATGCTTACACACACATTGCACAGGCTGAAAGGTACTGTTTGAAAGTCCTGTGTGTAATATAATAGAACTTTGTTAATGTTTTTTATGTTATAATATATTATGGTACTGTTGGATTTTAGGAGACAACAAAGAGTTTGTGTTGGGACATATATAAAGATTCTGAACTGAAGATCTTTGAATCTATTAATCAGAACTTCATGAAGACCATGATCTGTCTGGGACAACTCTGCTTGTCTAATGAAGCACCTGGATGGATTCCAGCAATCAGATCAGACAGCAGCACTCCCTCTGGCAGTTTCAGACAGTGCTCCACCAGGATCGGCACAGGTTCCAGGAGTACAAGAAGCTTGAGAAAAACTACGGTGATGGCTTTGGGTTTTAAGAGCAAATGTTATTTCAAAAGAAGACCGTGCTATTTAGGCAAAGGCAAAGTCCACTCCAGAGCACAGTAGCTCTGGGCCAGAGCTCGTCCTAGTTTCTGAAGCGCTAAGCGGACTAGAGAGCATGAAACTGAGCATGATGCTGGCCCATTGCAGGGATGACCCCCTCAATCTTGCTGGTCCCCATTTAGTGAGTGGGCTGGAGCAACTGGAATAAAATATCTCACACAAAGTATAAAAGTAGTGCAGACTCAAACCCACAACCTGACTGTTATAAACTCTTACTCACTATGCTATGTCTCCTCCCCATGCTATCAAACATGAACCATATTCATCAATAATCTTCATCAAATGTTTGCTAATTTGTTAAAGATAAAGCAGTTAAAGATATTCCAGTGAGCTTGCACACCTATTTCTATATAATTCCAGTCCAGAGGGATGTGTTTTTCAAGGCTGCGATCTCTACTGCTGGACACTGTCTGCTGTGAGACTTGCTACCTGAGGCAGGTGTGAATCAGTGTGAAATTGAGGGAGAAGCCAGTGGCCCTCTAGAGAAACACTGCCCTCAGGGAGCTCGGCAGGCAGTCCTGACACCAGGATCTGAGTCCCTTAGCCTAAGAGTTGATTTCAGTTCCCTCCCCTAGGGCTGTATCTGTGACCTGTGGGTTGCTGTTCCTGTATCCAACCTTGCTTTTCACAAACTGATGAGTCTCAGAAGTAAATCGAAATCTGTGCTCTTAACCACAGGCTACCTAGATGCAATTTTCTGCATATTTTCTTTTGATCTCAGAGATCTAAACTGGAATATTAAGTGAGGATGAGTCATCTCTGGTTGCACAGGAAGCAGTAGAGAGGAGGGGGGACTTTAACAGTATGGCTTCTCACTCTGTGATCATTAAATCAGATTCCTTTTTCATTTACACAGAAAACCCCACGTGAATTGTACAGGCTTCATTGAAATAAAACTAATGAGCCAAAAAATGCATGAGATATCCAAGCCTTTTGGTATAATATACATTTTAAAAGCTTTTGCTTTTCTTTTTTTTATCTGATTGTAAGCTTAGTATCTCTTAGGAATTAAACAACCTTAAGTCTGTATCTTGCATGGTTTCCTCCACACAACACATTGTGTTTAAGCACTGGACACTAACGTAATATTCAGTACATACTGTATAAAACACTAGTGTGATTCCACTTCTTTTACTGTGCCAGGTTTAATCGCCTCATCAAAGACATACGGTGCTTCTGGTGGTGTGCAAGTCACAGACTGGTCTAAAAGAACTGAATCTTTGGGGCCAGGAATACAAACGGCTTATGGAGGATTTCAAGACAGCTTTGAAAATCTTCAAAGGAAGTTCAGATCTGAATGCAAATCACCACTGTGTCACAGAAGCAGGACAGGTAAGGCTTTGAATAGACTGCCAGTAGAAGTTACTTCTTGAAAGCAGGGAGTTTTAGGTGAGTGGAACCACCGTCTAAACCGTGCTGTTTATACATTTTTATTACAGTTCCTAAAAATAATAAGCATGAGTTTCCAAGACCAATCAACATTAATGATCTGTAACCAGAGATGTAGGATGGGTCAAATGCTACACCCCTTGTCTTTAACATTTTTCACGGTCCTGTATCTATTGTGAAAGAAAATGTAGACCGGGGCACAGAGCACCGACTCACTGAACTTAATCCACTTCCTATGAGAAGCACAAGTGGATTTTTTTCTGACAGGTTTGTCAAAATGCCAGAGCGATCATTGTAAATATTCAGCACTAACATGACTCACTGCGCACAGCACGTTACCTAGAGTGAACTTCAGGCTTTTCTTAATAGAATATTGTAAACATTACTCAACCCTCAAAACGGATATACTGCATGCGTGCAGCTATCAGTGTAAAACCATGTGCACTCCTCCAAACATACAGTACGTACAGTATTGCTTTAAAATATCCAAGCACAGTTTTTACATTTACAGTTAGTACAATTATAAATATGAATAGACCATACATATGTTCTACTGAAACAATTTGCATGTTTGCATGTTTGACGTGAATATTCTGCATTTTAGAAAGCACTCTAACATTATAGAAAAACACTTTCAAGTTCTTAAAGACTCCTGAAAAGCAGATGAGAAAGCTGTCAAATGCAATATAAAAACTGCAGAACTTCTTAAAGACGAGAAAAGGTCAAACCCAAAACTAAATACACTTCAGCTTTTTTTAAACAAACCCTAGAAAGTGTTAGAATTGTGATCAACCACCTTCAAACCCAATCCAACAACATCAAGTTATTATTCACTACAGACAATCCAAAATTGTCTTGCTGGAGAAAGCACACACATGAATTAGAAGAAGGTTTTGCCCCCCCAAAAATCATGTCAGCTAAACATTTAATTAAGTCTTTTTGATTTGTACCTCATCTGAACTATCCAAGACTGAACAGAAGATCTGCACAACCAGATACTGACAACTAGTTATCCATCTGTCATGAGTCATGATGGAGAGAAAACAGCAAAGAAGCTGGACCCCTGTGAAGTACAGGGCACCTCTGTTCTATGTCAGCTTCTACTGTGGGCGTCCTTGGATTTCTGTGATGAGATATTTTCTCATGGTCTTTCATAAGATTTACAGGTAAAGTTACCATCATCAATCCATCCATTTTCTAAACACTTCATCCAATTCTGGCTCGCAGGGGAACAGGATCGTGTTCCACCAAGCAACAGGCACAAGGCGGGGTACACCCGGGCCGGGCACACATACAAAGACACACACTCAGACTAGGACTAATTTTCCCAGAAGCCAATTAACATACGTATGCTTCTGGACTGTGGGAGCCCCCGACTGAACATTCGGAGAAAATGCAAACTCCACAAATTGGAACCCCAGGTCCGGGAATGAACCCAGGGCCCCAGCACCATGAGGCAGCAAGGCTAACCACGGCGCGAGCATAACACACAAGTCACCACCCTAAAAAGTACAAAAATCTTAAAATTAAAATTAAAATCCAGTTAAAAAATTCAGTGAACTTAGGCAAGATTAACCTTTAGCCTAGTTTTGAAAATTGTTGTATACTGAGCCATCAAAATCTGCTTACTTCAACAAACGAAAGAGAAATAATTAACAATGTCACACACACTGGGTGCCACACACAAAGATGTAAAGTCACCATCATTATACTCAGACTCCTTCAGACACTAGACACTATTTCAAATCCACTTCATCAGGAGCACAGAAAACACACAGCAGCTGAACAAACGGGAAGCAATACCTTTATGTAGTAGGTTAGTCCACTTTCCAGGATGTCCTGCCCCAAACATTCTGTTCCTACCACTGAGCTGCTTAAGGAGGGCAGACCCTCAATTCTGGGCACCATTTCCCCTTGGGGTGGACTGCTGCCGACCTCCGAGTTGACCTTTTCCACGGCAATGCCCTGTCCAAGAGGAGAGGAGGCGGCCAGGTAGCTCGTCAGCCTGATCTCCGGGTCGGCCTGGCCACCCTGGGTCACGCCTCCACTGCCCACTTTGCTTCTGGGCACCTCTCTGGAGGCCAGAGTCAGGCTCTTCAGTCCAAGCAGAGCAGCGGGGTTGGAGAGTTTGATGTTCGCCATCTTGGGGATGAAGGCGCAGAGTGTGGTGTTGCCTTCCCCAGGGGAGTCCAGGGAGCAGTGTGGAGCAGGCGGAGTGGGCACTGGTGCCAGGCAGGTAGAGGGAGAAGAAGAAGGCACAGGGGGAGATTTGGCTCCCGCAGGCAGGGCAGTGCCGTGCGTGCCCTCATCCAGGGAGGTGACGGAATCGTTGCGGAAACGGCTGTACTTGGTCCTGTGAAGCATGCCTGCTTGTCCGAAGAGTCCAACATGCAATACGTTTCCCCTGAGGCTGAGGTGGGTATGTTCTCTCATAGCCAGAGGTGGTAACAAAAGCTGCTGAAGACAGACCCTCAGCCTCTCGCAGCCACTGCTTCAACAAACAGAAAGGGGGGGAAAGAGACTGATAGCTTTGTTGCCACAATGAAACCAAGGCACACGATTTCTTCCTCCTACCTACAGAATGAAGTCATTTTCAATAAATATGATTAGGGGCTTTCCAGAAACAGAGCACGAGACAAAGCACTCACTTTTCTTCTGAAAGTCGAACTATTTGCTGAAGCCAGAGATATGTTCATGTAAAGCTCAAACATCCAATGTCACAAACTGCACAAAATGTAAGCTAAACGTTTTTCTCTTATGATGTAGGTCATTTTTCCTTCTCAAACAGCTGTCATTGACAGTGATAAATTCCACACATTTCCACTGATAAATTATATAAACATAGGTCAAGAAATTACTACTACTTCTGAACTTCACCTATATATACTCCAATAAATTAGTTTTGTCTGCATTTTCTACCGTCACTGAATCTAGCCTTCTTTATACCTCAGCATAGTAATTTGACCTACCAGTCTTCCTGTATCAGTTGTCACACAGTCTGCTGTTCCTGTAGTGTCTGTTCAGTCTTGATTCCTCTGACCACTGTTCTCCTTCAGCCTGACCATGAAGTCCAGTGAAATATTCCACAACCACCCCATTACCGACATTAAATCTCAAAAACACACACTGCAGGCAGCTTCTCTCACTACCGAGATATTCATTCATTTAAGACTGTGCTTTAAAAGCCAGGTCATTATCACTGTGGTCTGCAGCACAAGAGGCTGCTGAGGCTGTTGCAATTTTCATGAATGAACTTTTTTTATGAATGAATTTCTCCTTCACTGCGCATGCTAATAAATGTGTGAATGAAGCTGAAGATGCCTGTAATTGACTGACAGTCCCCGAGTTCTTTTTTTTATTCCCCTACAATCCAATCACAGGCAGGCAGGATGACTCATGCACCATAAATACACTAAAACAGAGACCATCTGAATGTTGTCTTTCATCTTTATCAGTTTTTATCCTGCCACAGATCATTCACACAGGAAAAGCAGCTTCCACAGCAGAGGCAAAAGAGGATTACTCTGATAAGACAACGTCTGATGTTGGAACTTTATTGTGAACAGCAGGGTTCTGAATACGAGATTGACTGAAAGTACATTCCCACTCACTTAGACACTAAAACATATGGTATTATCTTCCAAGGAAGAAGTCATACATCTTTCTTAGAACTTGAGTTCTTTTTATCGACTGTTCATTCTCCAGTCTGAGGGCAGCTTCCCGGGTCAATCAAAACGACTCCAAAGACATAATGAAATTCCCCAGGAGGGCTCAAGAGAGTCTGGGTGATTGCAAAACAGAGCAGCAACAGCATTCAGCTGCTCGTGCTCTGGGGGCTCCTGAAATCTGTTTGGTACGAGACTGTGATGGTCACACCAATTCTGAAACATTCCGAACAGCTGTGCCTTGCAGTAATCCACACCCACACCAGGTCACCTAGTTTTAGCACACTGTCCTACGGAGAAAATGACCTTTAGAATTAGAAATGAACAACAGATTATACACAGAAAAAGCAAAAACATGAAAACATCTTTAGTATCTCAATAACAGGGAAGTTAGAGATATGCAGAAGACAATCAGGATTTGTTTTACAAGTAATTAATCGGTTACTTTGATTTTCTTTTGTCTCTTTGCCTTTTTTTTTTCTGATACATGTGAAATGGGAGGTATTAATACTTTATGTCTGAACATTATGCTCTTAAAGTATAAAAAAGATTACTGTACTGTGTTACTGCCAAAGTTACAACCACCAAAAAGGAAAAGCCGCCTACTATCCGAAGGAGAGAATCAATCATAGACTATAAGCACTCATTCATATGTTTATTTTTGTGTGTGTGGCTGGTACAGTATGTCTTTTCACTACAAAAAAGGTTCTCTTACTGCATATTTCCCCATACTCTTCACTAAACAACAGCTCCTGATAAAGGCAAATGCTTGGTTGAAGTATTAAAAGGCATTATAACAATGTGAGTTTCATCTCTGAAAACAGCTGCTATTGTAGAGGAAAGAGGAGGAGGAGTGTAGGTGTGAGAGTGGGCGTGTGGGGGCTCTAATCACTGCGGGGACCTTGTTACTGCAAGGAAATCGGTTTGTCTTAATACGAGTTGCCTCAGATTTCTTACTCACAGAAAAGGGTGTGTGGTACTTGATCTTCTTCCTTTCTGTCTGTCCAGAGACCTGTTACCTTAACTTCCTCTACATTTCCCAGAGCTACATCCACCTTATCAGCTTAAACTGGCACTTCGGAAGCGTTCAAGTTTTCCCTTCTCCCTTCATTTACTTTATCCTTCTGCTGATGGGGTGCCTGTACCCCTGTCTTTGGAGGCAGTTCAGGACACAACAAACAAGTAAATCTCCTGGCATTCTACCTGGATTTTATGTGACTTTATGTGATTTTATTTTCTCTGTTTCTAGGAAACCTATACAACGAAGTCTACTCTTGCCTCTGTTATTTATCTTGTCTTTGGAACTACAAACTCAAGATGTCTGTCAAACTTACTACAACGTTTACAGTATTTCTGTCAACGATACTCAACATTCCAGACCTTCTTTATGTCAATGACATACTGGTATATGTAAAGAACGTTTTCCAATTTCTGCCTCTTCTGTTAATGATCTTTTATGACTTCCTGCTTTATCAGGGTATAAAAGTCACTAGTTCTAGTCAGCATGTCATGGCAGTAAATATTATTAGCACTGTTTTTAAACTGGGAGATGAGAACTTGAGCGGGTGAGAATATTTTCCCACTTCTCTTCAAACTTGTGTCTGCATGAATAAAATGAACATGCTTCCTTGCATGAATTATTTCAGTCTTGCCATTCCTCTTTCTCCTTCATTAGGCTATTGGGATAGACTGCATTCTAGTGTTTCTAAATTAATTTGGAAGGGGGAGTGAGCACATATTAAATTCAGGTGGGTAGCTGCGTCAGCATGCGAAGGCTGCAAAGGAACAAGTAATAGGTTTATTCCATGCTGAAAAAAAGAAGAAAGAGAACACAACGTTTCGGCCATGGAGCCTTCTTCAGGTGTGACTTATTAAATTCTACTTGACTTATTAAATTCTACAATCTGCAGCGAGAGACTGGTGGCTGACCTAGCTCTGCCAGACTTGAAGTTACATTGTTGCTCCTTTGTTCTGCAATCACTTTTTGTTTCAGAGCTGTCCCTCTTGGTGTTTGCTTGAAGAAGGTCTGGTCTCTCCATGAAGATTTCTTTTAGGCTCTCACCTTAGACTCCGAAGACTGCATTTTGGACCTGTAATCACATATTTAATAATAACTTAGCATTACCATAGAGTGAAATCACCAAAGATGTCTCATTCAGCCTTCTTCCAAAATTCTAAATTTCCTTCAGGTAATTCCATGTTTGCTTTCCAGCTGAGGTGGAGCTTGCAGAGGCTAGCAAGGTAAGGATCAGTTATGAGAGGTGATCTTGGGAAGTCATACGAATGTACTGTGTTCTTTGTTTTTGGTCGCCACATTATAGATTTTGCCACATTAGAATCAAGTCAGAGAAGAGAAAGCAGTTACATCCTGGGGCTTAAATAATGTTCAACACCGATAGGCTGAGGAAACTGAACCTTTTGAGTTCAGAACAGAGAAGACAGCAAGGGGCCCTAAGACAAGTGTTCAAAATACTCAAGAACATTGATAAAGCCAACCCAACTGAAGCCTTCAGAGTAAACAGTGAAATGCTAGCCAGAGGACACAAGTGTAATCTACAGGGAAGTGCATCGTAAACTGATGACAGGAGATACTTCTTTACCCAAAGGGTGGTAGGTGTGTGGAACCAGCCATGTGGATAATGGTGATACCCTGGCATCCATTAAAAACATTGGAGATGAGATCCTTGTATTAATTAGATACTGATTATCCAGAAGGCAAGAGGGGTCTCCACCTGTAAGAAATTGAAATGAATAGAAAGAAACGGTGCTAGATTTTTCAGAGCTCTGCATGTCTTTTGATGTCAGCAGAAATTACTGAGACACACATGAAGTGTTTTTCCTTTCTGTAGCTCACTGTGGGAACCTTATACTGCAGCACAAGGCTTTAAAGATGAAAGCACCGCTCTTCAAACATGGCTCACTCTTCATCTGCCTGCCGTTCCGAAACGCAGCCTGACCTGACAGGGCTAAAGGAGTCTTTCTATTCTCCTCTTCCTCTCGTGGCGCAGCCTGGACGGCCGGGTCCTGTGGTTGATATTCCCCCGGAATTCCTCACCAAAGCAGAAGGATGCATCCCGGCTGGAAAGAAAATCCGCCAACTCCTATAAGCAAAAAAAGAAAATATATTTCAGTAACTGAAAGTTAATTTAACTGGAATCTTTGTTTTTCCACAAAAGGTAAAAAAAAAACATGCATTATATTCTGTGGAAGATGAAAAATGATCATCCATCCATCCATTTTCTAACCACTTTATCCAATAGGATAACAGGGTTGCAGGGGAGCAGGAGCCGGCCCTAGCAAGCAACAGGCACAAAGCAGGATACATCCTGGACATGTCACAAGTCCATCGTAGGCAACACACAAACACAGACACAATCACACCAGGGCCAATCTCCCCAGTAGAGGAAACCAGTGCATCCAGAGGAAACCCACATGAACACTGGAGAACCCATTGGGAGAACATATGAACTCAACACAAATAGCACCCCAGGAAAGCAATGAATGTTGTTGGTCTAACAGCATTATGTACATTACCCTATACAAGATGGCAGGGAAACTACGCACTATACAAGCAAATATAGGTCTATGCAAATAGTGCCTTTGGACAGAACTGAATATTCAAAACGTGTATCAGTCATCAGATAATGAAGGGAGCGGGGATATGGTAGTATTTCAGAATTTGCATTAACCAAATTCATCTACACACACTTGGTTAGAAAATAACTAGTTTATAACTGTAGTGTGTTTTAGCATTCATTTTTTGTTAGTTTGAAAATAGACGTGAAGAACCTACCCTGTAGTAGCAGCTCAGGCACTGGCCTCCTGGCCCATATTTTTGCCAATTAACTGCAAGTTAATTGCAAAATTGGATCGTGCATTTATATAACTTCAACTAGTAGCTTTTGTAACATGTCCTGCTTTTCAAAGAATGCACGTCCATTTTTTTTTAATTTCCTTTCAAGTGGGTATTGGGTTATGTCAGTAGATCTTTTGTCTTTCCTAATCAAGTAAATCGTTTCCGTTCGAACGTTTTAATGGTATTCACGCCTTAGGCTGGGATTCTTATGAATATCTTCATGTCTCAAACAACCATCGATGCGCTCTGATTTTTTTTTAAACCTGCAAAATATTCTAATGTTGTAGAGTTGAAATTCATGTTCGCGTTGATTCTCCAGACCATTTTTCTGAATGTTTTTTTCTGTTGAAATCAAACATACATTTGCTTGGTAGAACTAAGGTTCTAAATATAACAGATTTTTTTATATTTCTTGATCCAGGTGAAAAAATAATTAATCGCTAGTTATAAGTGGAAAAACTACGTGACATTTTAGTTAACGTTTAATTCAAGCAAGAGCGAAACAAACTGACAAAACGGACCCGTCCGGTTGGCTCCACCCAGCGGTAGTATGGAGAACTGCATGAAAGCGGTGCAACACTGTACCGCATCAACAGCGCTCAACACGAGATAAACTTGCAATGTCATTTTAATGCGACTCGTAGTGTTGTGATTCTCTGCAGGTAATTTCTTTTTATATGTCCTTTCCTTTCTCCACTCTCCGGTATAGACTGGAGATTAATACTCGATTTGTAGATGCGTGTACACAATTGAATATTGTGATATTGATATTGTGTCCTGTAGCACAATTGCCAGAGTTTATGGCTTCCTGAGTAATTAACGTCCTACTGAGTGAAACCTTTGAGCTGTTCAATGCCATGGCGTTGATGCTCATCGCGCCCATAAGGCATTTATAAATGACAGCGGGGCGAAAATACAATAACTGACCTTTTAGGAATAATAAAAGGGAATTGGAATTACATACACTGTAGCTGTACTGTATGTATGTGAAGGAACGCATTGAAAAAGAAATGTGTCACTAAAACAGCTTTTGCCTTTATATTATAAGCGTATACACCTTAATGTCGCATCTTGTGGGCTCACAAGACAGTTCACTTAGGGCCTTCAAATTACAGCGAGATTCTGAATAAAGGACATTTAATTCTCCCTGGGGATAAACCGTTTCCTCTAAGACCATTAAGTATCCTGATCTGAAACCAATACTCAGTTGAGGATGGGGGTAAAAATGACATTTTACAGTGTTTTGTTTTTAATTCTGTCACATAATCTCCTAAACGTCAGCAATCTTTCTTCTGTTCTTATTCTCCTACTCTCACATTATATAGGTAATTCTAGGAAAACCTTGAGTGGGATTGTACCTTTTGAACTCCTGAGGTTTGTTTGGATTTTTCTTCAGCTCCTCTGGTTTCCACCCGCCTTACGAAGACCTGCTGCGTCAATTAGTTGTAGTCTCCCATGTCTTCATGTGAGTGTGCTGTCCAAGCCAAGATCCCCTGAACCTTTAAAAGTCCTGAGGAGAGAAGACCCAATACAAGTACAAATTCAGAATCCTCAAGGACACTGACAAAATTAGCCCAGCAGATTACTTCCAAATGAACACTGAAACACGAACCAGTGGGCACCAGTGGAAACTACATGGAAGTGCATTTGAAACCAAAAACAGGAGGCACGTCTTTACACAAAGGGTGGTGGGAGTGTGGAACAAGCTACCCAGCCATGTTGCTGAAGCTGATACCCTGGTTTCTTTCAAGAAAGGGGTGCACAAGATCCTTGGATCAATTTACTACTAACTACAAAGCAGACTATATGGGCCTAATGGCATCCTCTTGTTTGTAACCTTTCATTGCATTTCCTATTCCTGGTCCTAAAGACCCACACACTTGCTGTTTTTTTTTTTTCCATCTGAGCATACAATCAAATCATTGAACCTTTAATAGACCTGATAAAGAGTTTACTCCATGTTGGAGGTTGTTTTAACTTTCACATAGTTTTACTTTGTGCATACTAATTACAAAAGTAACTTAGAATTGATAACCTCTGAGTAGAAAATTAACTCGCCAAAGGCTTCACCCCAGCAACATATTGGTTCAGTTACAGATTCATGTCAGCACAGAGCTCAGCAGCAATGAAAACCAGCAGGATTGGGGATCCAATCCTGGTCCAGGCTAGTCCTGACCTATGCTTCTGGGTTTTGTAACCCAGATCAGGAATTAGTGTCTTTCCGAGGATGGATAGACTTTTTCCACACAACAGTGACTATTACAGATTTGCTACATGAAAAATACTGCGCTTTTTCAAACTCTTTGCACTTGTCCTGTAATGCGAAACCACCCCTAGTGTAAAGCGCCTATCTTGGTTTGGAAAATGATATGTTCCCTGGGCTCAGATGTCAGCTAGAACTCCGGTGGTAGATGTGTCAGGATGCAAACAGATCTGAATTGAGCTGAAGCTGTAACAATGCTTACACAGCAACATAAGACCATAGAAAAAGGTCCTTCATCCAGAACATGTAACAAAGCTCTGGCAATTTTAATACTGCTAGTCACAACCTTCTTGCACATTCTTTAAGTCCTTTACTGTCTTGCATTAGAAAAAATATTCAATATTTTTAATGGATGTCAAATAGATCTCATGGCTACATTTGTAGATATGCAAACCAATCCACCTAAGTCCAACAGACTTTACCAACCTCTGCTTTTTACCTATGCAATCTGGAGTGGATAGATTGCACCCACACAGCACACGGCAGACAGACTGGAATCCTAAAAATCAGTAAAAGTCCACAAAAGAGATTGCTTGACACCTGAAGAAGGGTCCACAGCCGAAACGTTGTTTTCTCTCTTCTTTTTTTCAGCATGGAATAAACCTATTGTTCCTTTGCAACTCCTAGTATGGCTATTTAATAAAAAAATGTATCAGAAAATGCTTTTTAACATTGTTCAGGTACTTTGAATTTATTTTTACCCCAGAATTAAAACGTGGTAAGAAAATCAACTGGTAAACACTGGAAGGTTTCACACATACAGTAGCTGCTTCGCACTGCTTGTGAAAATGTGCTTCATTCACTGGACTGTAGGACTTTTTAAATACAGAATAATTAATTAATTAATAAGAATAGGAAGTTAAACCCATGTACCAAGTTTTTACAAAGAGAACAATCACAGAGTGTCATTGAACAAACAATTTAGACTATTTTAATTACTTATAAAGATAGACAAAACTGGATAATTGTAGGTGAAATATATAAAGTCTACCAATATTGTACAGATTTAAAGAAACACTTTAACAGTTATACAAAGACAACCAATAGATCATAAAAAGATGCTTCAAACAACAGTTTTTCACATTTTATTAGTTACAGAAAGAAGTTTACTAGTATTTACATAGTGCAAATGATGCAGTTGCTATTATTACTAATTATGCACACATTGTAAAAAAATGACAGCATGGGAACAAATACAGTACCATTCATCCAACAATAAAATCCTTCATCATAAATGGATATGGAAACTTCTGCCTTTCAATGATCCTGTTATCAAAGTATAATGTGATAAATTTAAAGTGTACACCAAAGCTATTTTAACATAACCAGCTGGACTGAATTTATGACTTTTTTTAAAAAAACCTTTTGCTGTTTTTCCCTGGAAAACATTAGTAAGCTGTGGAAAAAAAATATTTTCCCTCCCCATCCATGGGAACTCAATTCAAAACTTTATAAGTCAAACGAAGAAAAGTCCATCATCCAAAACTGGCAATTTTTCCATACAAAACAAATTAATACTATTTATTAAGTAATAGAAATTAAGTAAAAATTTGCATTTTTTAAAATTATCTATTTTTATTATTTTTTTATACTTTCTGAACTTGCACTGCATCTAGAACAGTGGAGTCATACAAGCAAAAAATCAGGATCAGTGAAAAATTACAATCTTAAAAGACAAATTACTTTTTAATTAACACACCTCAGATTGTGCAAGTGGTGGTAAGTGTAAAGGTGGAAACTGAAAGACAAGGTAATAGGCAGAGCTTAATCATTCACTAAGGGATATTAAAAACCTGTGACAGAGGTCCATAAGCAACAGAAGCAGTCCTGTTCTGAACTCACAGCTCCATCACTATGTGCAAGTAAGAAACCCTTCCTTTTATTCCTGCCAAGTGAACAGATTTCAAGAGTAAACGGAGGCCTTTTGCAAGGGATCATACTTGCAGTCAGCCGTGCTGCCACACAGATTCATAACACTAGCACATTGTCTACACTCCAAACCAGACAAATTGATAGACAATCACCCAAATGAAGTATATCCGAAATAAAAATCAACTTACAGTGTATGAAACGTGATGTAAACCAAAATTACAGACAGAAGCTTTATCGTGATACTGAACATGCTTTGTGAAAACTCTAAAACAAATCTACCCCAGAGTATGACACCAAGTGTTTGTATATATAGGAATGGAAAAATGTTACAAAAGGATCAAGAATAGTAAAAATGACTCATGCAATATATTACCCCAGCTTTTAAACACCAAAATAATAAATTACAGGTTATGGGATATTAGAGCCACCTATACATTTTATGTACATGAAGATTTTGTTCAAAAGGTTTAGCTTCAACTTTAATATTTTTTTATTAATTCAGGATCTGCATTTCAAAAATAGAGATTTAAGTATAAGAACTTCACAACATACCCCAAAAAAGCTTAGTATTTCTATACGTTGTATATTTTTGATTTACAACAGTTGCAAGTGAAACAATTACTCAAGTGGACCTGATTTGTTTGCAGTGTAAAAGCAAAGACCTAATACACCGCAAACTTCTGTTCTGTAGAAAATAGGTGGAATGGCCATCTTCCTATCTCCATTAGTTCTACAATGAAAGATTAGTTAATAAAAAGAAACGTTATAAATTAATGTGGAAACACTGATTGTTAACATTAGATCACACGGTTACTTTCAGCCAATAAGATCATATTTAAGCTCAAGACCTTCCTCTCTGTATGTGTAATTATATATACACATACACAGACATTCATAAACACAGCAGTCTGTATTTCAATGTTCAGATATTGAGGTAAGAGGATAATAGCGGTGTTTCACTAACAATAATTTGGAACAAGAACTATCCTCATCAGAAGATTACCATAAATAATTCTTCATGCCCTTCTGAAAGTTTGCAGTTGATCACATCTGCATATTACTTTGTTGTACGCCATTTATAAACATCAATTGGAGATTTTGCACCCAAGGAAAATGTTCCTGAAACAAAGTGCAACACCATACATATAATTTTACCTTGATGTGCAAGTAATGAATAAATACAGAAATACCTATGTTAATGTGCTAATGAACTAAAATAATCTAGGAACATAAGTGATTAAGTATTTCAGAGTAAAAAATGTTTTTTCCTCTTAGAATGCCAAGATATAGGTTACTCTAAACTATTTAAAAATTGACAAGTGAAGAACAATTTTTTACATATGTACATACACATACACACACCGACTACTGCATCACTGCAAGGTTCTGGTGTACAACATGATTTTGACCATCGTCCTCAGAATACGGCAATAATAAAAGCTCAAAAGGAGCAAAAACTGAAACAGAGTTCCCTATAGTGGAGAGAAAGAGTCCTTTTATCGAAAACGAAGGTGAAAACTTTGTCAACATGCCTTTCATTCTTGTTTGTTGGTTTTTGCAGGTTTCCTGAGTTAACGGATGTGAAACTGGCGTCGCAGTTCAGAAAAACAAGCGCAACCATTCTCCCGAGTCGGAGAGGCTGGTTTTCCCGGGAGAGGTGGTGGGGGGGGGGGGACCGTCAACAGGGTACGCTCTTGGGCTCCAGTGGCTGTTCTTTGTGGTCGAGCACAGGATCCGTCTGTTCGGAGCTCTCTAGCTCTTCCTCCTCGCTGGGCCCGCCCTCCTCCTCCTCGGCGCTGTCCTGGTTCTTGCCCAGCTGCAGATTTTCCAGCGTCTTTTGCGCCTCGGTGACCCAAGACTCGATCCGACTGGTCAGGGGGACCTCCACTGAGATGGGCTCAGGGGTGTAATCCTCCTCTTCGTCCTCCTCGTCTTCGTCCTCCCCTTCCTCCAGCATGCCAGGCACCAGGGTGCTGGCGGTGCTGGTGATGGAGGAGCTGAGCAGGTCCCGACAGCTGCCGTCTAGCGACCCGGTCTCCGTGCTCTGCTGGGAGGCCCACTCCAACGTGTCATCGGGTCTCCCTTCTTCTTTCTCCAGCACGGCCACCCCAGGTTTCCCTGGCTGGCAGGCGGGGGGCGCGGAGGTCACCGTAGGGGTGGACGGGAGGGACAGGGCTGACGCCTGACTCTCTGCATCAGCAGCTGCGTTGTTTACACTCTCGCTGCCAGCTGTCTTGCCTGGGGGCTCTCTCTCACTCTCCAGGGCCTCCAGGCCATCCGAAGACTCCACCATGCTTCTCCAATTGGTTTCTGAGTTTGATAAAATGGGAAAACAAAAAGAGGAAGTAATGAAATAGAAGATGTCACACAGTACACGCTGACTGATGCTTTTTGTTGCTGCTAAAGCAATCATTCCATGTAAACAACAATTAATTCCGCTTGTTGTTTCACATATTAGAAATATTTAGAATGACAGTTTTCTTAATAGAATACATCCGGTTTCGAGCAACTTAAAAAGAGGCTGGTTATTCAAGCAGGTTGTATATTACTGAACTGACTATTGGATGCAGGAATCTAACCAGTCCAGTTTGCAATATGTGATGCAGGTCTTTAAAAATTCAGGAAACAGGCACAATGAAATCTTTTTTAAGCCGCAGAATGAACAAAAGAATTGAAGGTATTCAGATGTTTCTACCTATTCTTAGGCGTAAACAAGACTTCATAAGACTGAAAAACAACTTGTGCGGCAATGCAAGAACTTACCATATTCTTTCTCGTTGACTTCGGAGATGGGCTCGGAGATGACGCTGCAGAAGGAGATTGCGCTGGCGGCCGAGGGGTTTCGAGAATGGCCCATGTGGTTATGCACCTTCTTGACATTCTTCAACGCCTCCTCTGCCTGCTCCTGCTCCAGTGCTGAAACCATGTCCTTGTAAGCCTTTCTGGCTTCCTCTGTGAGTGACACTAGCTTATTAAATAAGCCCTGGAGAAAGAATCAACAGTCAGTTTCAGGCGTTATGCAATGCTATTTAAACACTGAAGGAATAGCAAGCTCTGCTCTGAACTGTATTTTCCAGTGGGTAATGTCCTACTACCCTTAGTCACCTGACCAGTTGGGAGAACAGGTCAAATGACGATTTAAAAACTACAGTAGGAAGCAGGGGCTTCCAGCAATGGTTATGTATCTGCTTGTTTAGGGTTATTTCCTCTCACACTGTAAATAAAGACCACTGATTTAACATCTAATGACATGACCCAGGCTTGAACCTGCAACACCTGGACATTCTCAGACATCAACCTTTACCAGCTGAGTCACTCAGGAGGCCCCCCAGGCAGTCTGCATCATGATTTGCATGCAGGCTCTTCACTGTTGTCAGCATTTCCTTGTCCCTGTGAGCTTCACATCTACAGAACTAGCACTTCCCTGCAGGAAGCAGGTGCAGGTACAGAGAGAACTGCACTCTGCAGACAAAACTCTCACCTCGGCCCCAGAGAAGTTGAAGATTCCTACAACGCTGACGGGAACCAGTTTGTTGACACAGCGGCCTAGAGCTTTCCGGCCCAGTGCAAACACGAACGGGATCTCCTGCTCTCTGGCCATGGCAATAACATTGTACAGGGCCTCATCCAGACCCCCTGATCAAGGAAACCAAGAGAGGCGATTAGCAAAGCTCTGAATTGTGTAATCAGAATACACTTTTTTAAAACAAAAAAAAACACAAAATCACTAACTTACACCAGGTTTTACTGATATCTGGTGACAGCTACTGCCTGATTGTTGATCAAGGAATACTGTGAAGGCAAACTTTACATAATGGTGCATTTGTTCAGAAGCAGTAACACTCCACCAGGAATTGCTGCCCTCTGCTGTCCAGTTATATAACAGCATGCTCTTACTGCAATTTCCAGGTGAACATCTTTGTTGGCCTGCCTGCCTGCCCTACAACCACTGTGGTCAGGCACTGCTAAAACTATCCTTTCCATTTGTGAAACAATTGGAATACCAATAGGACTAACAATAATTTATCAAAAAGTTTAGGGGGTACCAATGACAATCTCATTTTCTGTATAAGCTTGTGTTCGAATAAATACAGTAATCACATTTATACAGCACATATCTGCCAAAGCACTTTTGATGTAGGTCAGGACCCACTGCACCCACCATTGAAGTGTAATCCCAACTTGGGTGATACACAGTAGCCATTCTGCACTGTTTAGTCTACTATGCAGCAGATCAGGCCTCTTCACTGGTTGAATTAAGGGCACGGCTCCACTGGATTCTGACCTTACCTTTGGACTGGATTTTTTCACAGTTGGGAGAGATAATGACGCACTTGATCTTCTGCAGCTTCATGTGCTTGGTGACCTCTCTCAGGCCCATCACCAGCCTCCTCTTGGCTTTGGCCTTGGCGGGGTCTTTCTGGTACACGCGCTCCTGAAAGCGCACGAGCTCCTGCAGAAGCAGTGTCACGCTTTCATCGATCTCCTTGCTCAGGACCTGGTTACAGTACCTGTGCAAGGCAGGACACGTCAGGAAAGTTCCATGCGATACATTTGTCCAAGCAACAAACCACACACTGCAATGATCGGAATAAACTACCTGCAGAGATACTTATTGGAACAAAAAGACATTTGTTGGATTCCAGCCGAAACCCAAAGTCAAATTAAACAGTGCTTTACACTGCAGTTGAATACTTTAGCAATTGTGTTTTGCAATTAGTAAGTAGAGCGTGGGTCACTGCAACTCCTGTAGCATAAACACCTGTATGTGCTACCAGCTAGCTTTTATCTCTAGGGCAGTGCAAAAAAAGAGCTTTTATTTCTAGATACAGGGGGTTAAAATAACTTAAAGAGAGAGGAAGGAGGCAGAAATAGAGGAGTATACAGAAATGTGGGTGTCCAGAGGTTGTTAAAATGCATGAACTGTAAGATGTGGGGAGGCTGGAACAAAGTGCTTACACGAGTTGACTTTTCTGCCAACAATAGCCTGTTTGTAAAGAGCAGCATACAATGCATTGAGCCCAGACAAATGTGCAGCCCCCTGGTACCATACACTGCACAATCCTTTATTGTATAGCCCTTTTTTAAAAGAGCCCATTGGCATTTACAGAGGACCTCTCAGTTCTGCAATATATTTTTGAACCAATATGTTATTTGGGCGTGCAAAGAATTTGAACAACTAATCCATTTTTTTTTTCTCTCCATAACATTAACCCATGCGGTCAAGATCTCCAAGCTTTAGATGTGCTCCAGTCTAAAGCATTGATCAAGATACTGCTACACATTATCTTGACAGCATAAATGGACCACACACACAATGTAATTTTCAGTGAAACTGCAGTATGTGTTCTTTAGAAAAAAACAAACTTTTTTGTAGCTTAATTTGGGGATGTGACATGGTGGGTCTACTGTTCCCTATTCAGATTTGAATGCCTGTACAAACACTTTCCTGCTGAAGCACTTACTCTCGGAACCTCCTGCTGTGGATTTTGGTGATGGCCAAGGCCGTCATTGGGCTTCCTATCTCAGAGCTGGCCGGAGAGCCCTGGGACACAGGGGTGATGCTGTATGGAGAGTTCTGGCTGGCCGGCGAGAGAGAGGCATCGCTGGGCATGCTCAGGCCATTTTCTGCAAATCACACACTCCGTCACACACTCAAAACTCTTCTCCCAGAACATTTGTCCTGTAGACACAGTTCCCCCCACGTGGAACTGGGGGGTTCATTTTCAAAGCTGGCGTTTTTATTTTTAAAAATAAACATACCAATCCCATTAAAAAAGGCCAGCCAGCTTCAGAGAGCACAGGACTATCAGAGCAGAGCAGTATAGAGAGACTCACCCTCCTGTGACACTCCTTCATGGCTCTGGTCATCAGTAAAACGCAGCTCTCCATCTGCCTGCTCCTCTGGGCCCAGGACACTGTGGTCGAGAGAGTACTTGCCTTTCTTCACTTCCCTTTCCTTCAAAATGATCTGGAACCCGAAAACAGTTTGGGAGATTAATTTTAACACCTTGGGTCAATGTGCATGAAAGGTGGTGCTTTAAGGTCTGATTGCAATTAAGAACAGAGTTGTGCTTTCGCCATAATGCCTTTACATTAGAACCAACAGATTTTGGCTACAAAAGGGACTAAATCCAATATCAGTCTAAAAGGCACTGATCTCCACACCCTGTAAGATTTTTTTTTAATTTAAGGCTTAGCTTCTCAGCAATCAGAGAAGTGTTACTCATTCAAAGTGAGATGCAGATACAAGGGGTAAAATGCTTGTTGATTCAGATATGAACATAAAATATCACTCATGGAAGTCTGAGTTTGTTTTCTATTACTTTGAAACTCTGTGAAAAGTAACGTGTTGCAACAGCATGATTAGCGCACAGCTAATGGGAGGCTTGTATTTCCTAGTCGCTTCAAACCTGCTGTGTCACATTTTTATTATTCCAGTGCTTGAAAATGGAAGCCTTACAAAAAATGTTTGTGCAGGTGAAATGAAGTGTAGTCCAATATCCATTCTGGCCATTACTTTGGATATACATTTTGATCATCCCTCTCTGTTCCTCACCTTTTTAAGTGCAGTCGGTCGTTTGACCTTGGGAATTTCTCTCTCCTTGCCTCGCTTCATTCGGGGGGCGGTGGAGTCCAGGATGTTGTGAGGAGGAGTATAGGGCTGACTCTTTATCACAGACATTTTGTTGCCCGAGTCCTTTGACTGAAAGGGGGCAGTGGTCCCAACTGGAACATGAACATAAGAAAATCAAAGCTAAACCCATCAACACAAGGAAACACAGTGCCACAACCTGCAAAGAATCTGAAAGTTATTGGTTTTTATATATCCTATGAGGATTCAGACACCTCAAAAATTATCATAACATTAATCATATAGGTAAACCCTTTGTTTAGTATGTTTAGTATAAGAAATAAATACTAAGTAATAGCAAAGACTTTCTGCCTGTCTTCTGAGAGACGTAAAATCAAAAGGACGAGATACGGACAACAGATGTTGCCAACTGTGAATGCCAAGGGGAACCATTAAAAATCCAAACCCTAATGCCGATCCATTAAGCTGTCAATACATTCAGTATGGCTCAATTTACAGTACTGCACAGAGAACAGTAAGAGGGTGCTGGTTTTTACTTTGCAGGAAAGTTCATCTGTCACAAAGAAGGAGGCTCGAGTGTTTAAGGAAGGTTGTTCCCTTCGAGATTAGTGGGTGTCCCCTCTAGTCTCAGGAAGGAAAGAATATTCCCTGGAGTCGCGCATCATGAGCTGCTCCACATTTTGCTGGCTGGTTGCCTTTGCCACAGGCAGGAGCGTGCAGTGGGCCTGCTGTACCTGTGTACGAGAGGGGCTTGGTGTTGGTGAGCTGGCGAGCCTTCATGGCCTGCTGCTGTCTCTCCAGGGCAGCCAGCATGTCGCCCAGATCGAGCTGCACCGGAGTCTTGCTCTTCTTCCCCGCCGCCTTGGTCAGCGCCTCCTGAAAACAAGAGCACAACCGCTGGTCACAGGCCTGCAGTGGGAGCGCCCCGGCCACACCAACCCCAGCAGTAGGGACCTGCGCATATACTGCCCTCGGACAAGAGGCCTGGCGCTCTTCAGGAACGAGCAAAGAAGGGGTAAGAAAAAACTCCTGTGATGTCTTAGAGAATGCATTTAAAAAGTACTGGGTGGTTTTCTTCGATACAAGGGAATTTTTTGACGCCGGTCTTCTGCAGTGCAGGGAACAGAGTCCCCCTAGCCACCCTGTTCTGCGCTCACTCGGAGAGCCCCCTCGTCTGACCTGTAGCTTCTTCTGCTCCATGCTGATCTCCGAGTACTCTTGCGCTGTGGCCAGCGCCGCGGCCAGCGCCTTCTTCCTCTGGCTCTTGGCTCGCTTGGGCACGGAGGTGGTGATGGGGATGGGAGTCTGCACGATGCTAATGGGAGAGTTCTCAGGCAGGTTCTCCAGCTACACAGGAAAAAAAAACAAAACAAAAGAGTCAGGTAGTGTGTTTAATGCCTTTTACTTAAGCACAAGTTGAATTTTACCACAAGTATCCACAATAAAAAGATTTTATAGCCTGTGTAAGGAACACGGCTCTTCCTGTTAAGAACAGCAGGAGAGCGGTCAATCACTAATTGATCCAAGGATCTCATCTGGCTGCTTCCTGAAAGGACATCAAATTCTACCACTTTGCTGGGTAACTTGTTCCATGCTCCCACTGCTCTCTGGGTAAAGTGTTCCCTGCTCAGTTTTAAATGTACCAATAGGCTGATGTCATAATATGTAATTATAGTCTGCTTTAATATGAAAAGCCACAGCATGTACTGTACTTTTACCATCTACCTATGCTACTCCTTGTGGAATAATATGAAATATGAACCTGTGGATCTACGGTATGCAGATACCAAGGAACAAATAAATAGTATGAACACACACAAGAACATTGCTTACAATGTTTTTGGGTAATTTTGGTTGTATTTGCTCATTCCTAATCTTCAAAGCATTTCCTCCAGAAACCAGTTCAGGAAACTCATCTTCATCCTAGAAAAGGATTCATGTAACATTATACAGAAAAGAAATGCAACATTTCATGTTAAATTCTTTCAAAACAAAACATAGACAACTTCCTTTAAAGAAGCTTGGCTTTTCTAAATTAGGAGAATATCAGGCCAGTACAAGTTAAAGGGAAACTGCAGTCCTAATTTCTCAGACTAGTTATTACATCTCTGTAACAAAATACAATTGACGTTACAGACAAAAATGACAAATTAAGCACAAAATCATGATCTTTATCAAAGTACTGCAAGTCTTCGTGTTCTCACAAACTCACACTCGAGTTCACATGAATTGCAACCCTGACATAGCCCTTCCCGCTCAATAGTCACCACAATGATGAATGTAATGGGATATACAAGCAAATAAGTACAGGTTGTGCTGCAGACATTTCACCGCAGAAATGTTCCAATATGATCTGCATCTGCAGAGCCAACAAGTAAGTTGTATTTGTCTGCAAAACCATCTCAAAGTTGAGAGCAATATTTCTATTGGATTAAAAGAGATGTATTCACATGCCTGCCTGTTTGCAGTATCAGAGGACTGGAACACATCACCGTAAGTTTTGTTGCCTCATTCTGAATCGCAGAACACACACACCAGGACAATTTGTGTCTTTGTTGCAATGATAATTGGAGGTGTGACAAGTTACTGTGTGCACTTTACGGTTATTGCAGTTTGAAATGGGCTTGTCAATGCCGATTCTGTCCAACGCCCAAATATTTTTTAAAAAGCGTTGCAGTTCCTCTTTAAATGTAAACCTACGGCAGCCAAGCAACACAGGATTACTGTAAGAACTGCACTGTTGTACTTGTATTCCAAGTACAGAAAGGGGTCTCACCTCGAAATACAGCTCTGCGCTGTGTGCAGCCTCCGGCGGCCGGTTGACATGTGGCCTCCTGGTCTGCAGGGCTGGCCCTCTCTCACAGGAGGTGCTCGGTGCGCGGCCTCGATAGCCAGCCTGCAAGTCAAGCTTCATGAGATTAAAACGTGCAGCCACCTACTGTAGAAAACAGTTTCAGTTTCAAAGCCCTGCAGAAAAACACCATTGTAAATGGCGTTCATTGTTTGCACTTGGATGAGAGAATACGACTCATTTTTAAAACAGTTATTCAAAAGGGCTTCTTCCAAGAACCAGCTGGATGAGATCCTTGGATTAGTTTGTTACTAATTAACTAACGGTCTAGCTTCTCTTGTGTAACCTTTATGTTTAAGTGACTAAATCCTTCACAACTCTGAAATGAAAAACTCCCGCATGTGAAGATCCTCCTAAAAAGATTAACACTCAATGCTCAAACTGAGTAATGCCAGTAAACCTAAATAAGCCAAAGCAAATCTGAACAGTATTCAAAGGTTCTGATCTGGGCCATGGCCCATAACACAAGCTTTCCATTTCATTAAGTCACCAGAGTCTAAAACTGTGGCAAAATAACTCAATAAATGACTTACTGTAGATCCCCATAGCCTCAGTGATAAAAAGCACTTAAAACACTGATGCGTGGCCTTGAGTGTAACCCGAGTTGCGGTCTGAAAGTAATTAGCATACCTGTGTGTAGTTTCTTAGATCAGTTCCTCTACCAGCCCTAAGAAAGGCCGAACTCCTGTCCATCCAGTTTTTCTGAGTCACCTGAGAGGCGACATTGACCCAGCTGACAGCTGTAAAAACCGATATTTTAAAAATTAAGAAAATAAGATAAAGACTTTTCATTTCTGGGGGAAAAGAGAAGTATTGTGAAATAAAAAAAAACTACCTGTCGCAACTCCAGACTCCCCGCCCTAAAGAAAGGTAACAAAAACAAGCCAGCTATTAGAGAAAGGACAACTGCAGTGGACAAGCAAGTTCAACAATCTGATAACGTCCTATATCCACTCGTTTTTACCCCCACTTATGGGAGTTACAGTAACTTCATTGTATACTCACAAAAGATAAAAAATTAGCTTAACGGGACAAAGTGCAATAATGAAGAAACAGTCCTTTGGCGAGCAGATCTACTACAAAGGCCCAGTAAAGAAAGATGGCGCAGTGTGAGGGAGCATGAGAGACACCCCCTGATGTAGGGGAGACAAACGCACTGACGACAGTTTTATTCCTGGCCTTCCTGTTCCCTTCAGTTAAGGAGATGAGAGTAAGAAGAAAGGAGTGAATTAAAATAAATGGGTCAGCTGCCATACGAAACGCACACAACAATGGTTGTCTGCGTCGAAGTAAAGATCGCCGGGGACAGGAAAGAGAAAGCCCTGCTCCTCGTACCGCGGTGGCAGCGGAGTCCGTGGTCCTGGAGGCCGGGCCGGCGGCCTGGTTGTGCTTGGGGCTGCAGTAGCCACTGTCGCTGTCGATGTCCGCCTCGCTGGCGCCATGCTCGCTGGAGGACTCCCCCGCTGGCTGCGACGCCCTCCTCCGCCGCGCCTTCGACTTCCACGGCAGGGGGCTGGCCCTTTCCAACAGGGACTTGCTGGCGATTTCTCCCGGGAAGTCTGAAGAGCGGAGACAACGCACAAGCACGGTGACGGAGGTGCCCCACCCCAGACCGCGATGAACGTGCAACTACTGTAGCACGTCAGTCTACACCCGGAGTGCAACATTCCACAAATAATTCCCTGCAATTCTTAACAAAGTGTTTTAATAAGCTCATTCAGTCAGCAATCCGGCCTTATCTTCTGTGTGCCAGGAATGACCATAGTCATCGATATACAGTAGGACTGGTTTTCAAATTAAATTTTACTTGTTTTTATGTTGCCATATTGCATGTATCTTTCAGAAATCATGCAGCAGTAATAAAAAAAACTGTTGAGGAAAAAAAGTAGAGTTTAAATAAAGGGATGTTGTGTTAAAAGCATTTAACAGATTACTCATTTTAATTCTCTGTACAATTCTGGTCACAATTTTACAAAAAGAAACACCACTGCTCTGGAATCTGTCCAGAGAAGAGCAAACTGATACAAACCAGGACCATGTCCTACACCGAAAAGCTCAGAACTGAAACTTTTTAGTCCTGAACAGAAAAAGACAGAGGGAATTTGATACAATTATTCAAAACCGCCAGAGGCACTAATAAAATCAACCCAGTGGATTTCTTAAGAATAAACGATGAAGTGTAAACCAGAGAACACAAGTGGAAAATAATGTTGCAGTGCAAATAAAACTGACAACAGGAGGCACTTCTGTACCCAAAGAGTTGTGGGAGTATGTAGCAACATACTCAGCCATGTTGTTGAAACTGATAACCTGGCTTCTTTCAAGAAATGACTGGATGAGATCCTGGGATCAATTAACTACTAACTACCATTTGGGCTAATGGGGTTCTCTTTTGTAACCTTTTTTATGTTCTTAAATGACTGCTTCTTAATGGCCATAGCCCATATTTAGTAGAGATTATATACCAGCCCATGTTTTATAAATCAGTAAAAAAAACTAATCTGCGAGTGTGTAAGTAGACTTAGTACAACTGCAATCCTCATACACTTATGCAACTCCTGCATTGTGCCACTAAGCCTTCTTCAGGTCATTAAGTCTTAAAATAGTAACAGTGGTGTTACCAAGTCACAGACAAGACTATAAGGCAATTCAAATCAGCTACACACAAAAAAAAATACTCTCAACGCAGGATTTATGACATCAAATCAAAAGCAAACATCAGCAGAAACTGAAATCTGGTCTGCACTTTTAATTCACACGCAAGGAGCCCAACGTTCTGGCTCTCAAACAAGCAGAGCTCTGACGAAACTCATCACGTGCTGCATGCGCAATCCCCACTAGATGACAAGTACATATAAATAAAACAATAATGCCACTCGTTTCAAAAGCTGAGAGGCTTCTGTTTGAATTAGGCCAGGGTAACATTAGCTAATCTGAGTGAAAGGATCCATGTGACAGTTACCTGTCTGCTGGGAAGCGTCCACTAAAAGCACAGTCTTTGATCTGCCGTCTGGACCAGAGGAACTGATCTCCTTTTGAACCGCAACGCTCCTCATTGGAGGCCTCTTACTTCTTATGGGCTGAGGGAGCTGCTGCAGAAACAGAAATGCACAGAAATCAAACGCCGGGAGCAGTCCACTAAAACAGCAGCAATGACAGGGCATGGGACTGAATCTGTGAGCAACCTATTCCATTCTCTTCATCCTCATCTCGTGCTCTGCGTGCTACTGCCACGGTTCCTCCAAATCTTTCTTTTCCCAGGCCAGTTGACCTGTTTTACAGGGACACAGCGAGGAGATGTGCCTCCACCCGCCTCCGCCAGCCTAGCGCCCACTATCAAGTGACCAGTTATCCGTGTCCGATTCCCGCCAGGCCTCACCTTGGGCAGCACCGCGGGCCGGATGACCCCCCTTCCTCTCTGGCCGGCCGCGGGGAAGGCCTGGCTGGGGGGGGCGGGGCGGTCTCCGCAGTCCGCCGCCACGGCGCTGACCATGCCGGCTGCCGGAACCGGCGCCGCGTAGGGCGCAGGGAAGGGCTGGTAGAAGCCCATCATCGGGGGGCAGGGCGCTGGCATGATCTGGTAGTACGTGTAGTCGCTGGACACGGCGGGCTGGGGGGATGGCAGGATGGGATAGGCCAGATAGGGGCCGCCAGGGCCAGGGTTGGGCTGCTGCCATCTGAGGTCTCCGTTGTACAAGGGAAGTTGCCTACAAGGGAGGAAGAGTGTCGTTACGACACGCACACGCAGTCACGGACACCAGCTCGGGAGCCCTGAATGGATTGTTAAAATCACACATCTCAGTTAATCTGCCAGTTAAGATGAACTCCATCATTGAGTAGTTAAAACTATCAAAAGGGGTTGAGGTTTACGTAATAAAATATCAAAACTGGCACTTAACAAAACATTAGAAAAGTTGTCGCAGAAACAAAAATAATTCCACTTACAATTTTTTATGAAACAAAGCCGACCTTAAGAGAGAAAAAACCTCCATTACTGTAGCAGGACAGGCCTACGTTGGGCTGTTTATGGTTTATTACTTACAAATGATTTACAGACATATCTCCTATGTTCTTCTAATGCCTCACTTGACATAATATACAAAAAATACTTTGAACTCATTATATGCAAACAAATCTACAATCTTTCTTTTTATCAACAAAAACGCTTTTTCATTTTTTGTGGTGCAAGACAAAGTGGTGGACGCATTCACCTAGGTTTAGTGATAGAAAACACTTTCCTTTAAACAGCAAGTAGAACGACCAACTGGGATACCAACACAATGTGTCAGGCAGCTCTCTAACCGGCTTTTCCTGTGCTGTTCATCATGGAGAGGTAAAGAAAGCCAGGAAGGAAACAGCAGGGCAATGTGCAGGATATGGTGGCTCGTTACGCATGCAGAGGAACTCTCAAAGCCCAGGACACGGCAACATGGCTCTGAGCTCAGCTCATTCAGAGACCCCTCTGCTGCTGCTGTAATCTGGCTGAAGCGAGTCAAGTTACCAGCCCTGCGTGCATATCGTTGGCACAAAGAGCAACACTAAGAAGAGAAGAAGCAGTCGCCTCCAGTCGGTTCTCTTCCTTCACCCGTTTGCTTTAGGATAAAGAAAGTCTACCTTTTTTGGGAGCCTTCAGGGCCCATAGGATCACATCTAACCTTCATAGGTTACCTAGTTCCTTTGACATCAGTTTTTGTCCTTATTTTTTAAAGCATATCCTGCTAGCTAGTAAACTACAATGTAAAACAAAGAAGTTTTCTGAAAACAAAAACAGATGTTTTCAAAATGCAAGCCCATGGGCCTAGGGTACCTGTTAGGCTGGTTTTCCTGTACAAAGGGGTAGCAGGTGATGAGATAGCTGGGGATTGCCGTGGGCTCTGCCCCCCCAGCACTGCTCCCCCCGGCCCCGTCCCCAGGCAGGCTCATCGTCACCAGCGCCGACTCCAGGCCTTTCTTCTGTGGCACAAAGGGCTCCACTTCGGCAGAGAGCTTCACATCCTTGAGCGGGGGGCAAAAAGGGATAGTCTCTCAGGACGCTTCAGTAAAATTATTCAGACTTACCTCCGAGATAAATATTAAAAAGATGTTACTTTTACAATAACAGGCTATTCAGTCAGTATTCAATGAATTCGGGGCTGGTAGTGTTGAACGTTACCTGGCCAACATCATGACGTTACTGAAACGTCTCCAGAAATCTAAGGAAGCAGGTGCTATCCCTGCCAATCAAGAGTTATTTCGTCGGACCCTGTCATAAATTTGAGGGCATTACTGTCAAAAAGGGTACCAAAAAAATGAAGTCGTGAAGTTCCATGTACCACACCTCTTTCAGAGGTAATTTAAAGTTCCTCTTTGGAAGAAAAAAATTTTTTTTTTTTGCATTTTACAAATTTACAAAAAAGGGTGTTTTTCCTTTACCATAAAAGTGCAGTTAACATACTGTATTTCTATAGTAGTAAACAAAGTAAACAAATTTCTGAACGTGTAAATCAAAAACTGGGGAACTTGGTATTGAGTTTTATTGCTACCTTTGAAGGTTTTTATCATCTTCTGTTGCCTCTGGAAAATACGCACTCTTTATGAGGGTAAAATAAGGTGTCAGTGTTAAAAGGTTGCACACAGGTATTGTTAACCTTGGAACTGCCAAAATGAGTTCTGAAAACACAACAGATTTATTTATACACATTCCTTTCCTGTTCAGGGCAGCCGATGCGAAAAGGAGTGCCCAAGTTTGAACATTACACAAAGGCAAGTTCATATGTCAATATAAAAACTGATAGCAATAAGTCCACTGGAATGAGAAAAAACTGGGTTTAAATGGGTCAATCTCGAGGTGTCAGAGCTCAGACTGAACAGCGGATGTACGAGGGTCAGTGGAAGTGTGGGATCAATAAAACTGTGATTTATGCATAACAGTAAAGTCATGCAGTGTCACCTGCTACTGTCAATAACATGCTAACACAACTTTTAAAATGTTGATTGCAAATACATTAACCATGCTACTAATCTGACTATATCTGAAACCTTTCCTCTCTGAAGAGCCCATCAATGGGATTGTGGGGTTTCTGAATCTGTAGGACCACCCTACTAGTTGATATTGTAAATAGACCACTGGAAACCATATTGACAAAAATATAGACTTTTACTTTAAGGATAAAATGACTATGGAAGAGAAATTGTAAGCCACCTTTTTTTAAATGGATTTGATAGTTTAAAGTTTATTTTTCAGGTCACGAGGAGGCCCAGGAGCACAGAGAGTCTCGCACACAGAGGCACCAGAGCTGAGGTCCAGCTCAAATTAAGAGTAAAACTCTCTGCGTGCTGTATTCTTGGTACCCGTACCACATGCAAAATGCAGGAGAAATTTTCCCCCTGGTGATTAACAGGAAAAGTGACTTCTCCCACCATACACAATCCACTCTGTATGGACTGCTGCTGAAGTTGACCGACAAAGAAAAAGACACGAGATGACAAAAAAAAGAGTAGACAGAATGACAAAGGTCAACAGTGACCCAGACGCCTGAGCTGGGAAGTGTAGGGTGAGGCGAACTCACTTTGATGCACACTCTATATCACTTTATACCTTCACATCCTGCGCAAAATTAAGCTTCTCCAACATTGATACCTTAGGGGAAAAAAACATTTCACAACTTTGCTCAAATGGTAAAAGGGTTAGTATGAATTATTCATTAAAAACTACAATTATATATTGCTTAAGTAGTAAAGTCACATCAGCCGTAGGATAAAAAACAACACAATGGTGTATAATCTGGGTGTGTATCTGACCTACAGTACCATGCCCTCTTTTTGTCCCATCAGTCTTCCCAGAGTTACTGCAGCAACAGTGAACCCGATTACTTTCACAGCACATACACACATAGCACAGCCTAAAACGTGTAATCAATCATTCTGAAAGGGAAAAGACTCTTCCGATACTGACCCTAAATGAGGTCATACATACAATACCTGGCCCTGTCTTTACCAGTTTTGAAAGTCTGAATTGCCGAATGTTCTCCTGATTTCTGGTTAAGCAGTTTAACAATGTATCAGTCAGGTGCAATATGTTTTATCCAGTCCGATTTTAAAACATTATGAAGTACATCACTACATGCTGCTACTTTCCTGGAAAGTAACAAGTCATGACTTTGCATTTTATAATGTGCGTTCCCTGCCCGGGCCCAGGTGTCCAGATGTCCCCGGGAAGCCCAATTGAACCAACTGCCATGGTCTGGGCTGGACAAAAATACATTTAAAGTTTTGTCTTGTGAGCTTAAGGCAGAATGTTGGGGGGGCTGCTCAGGGACTCTACCAGTACCACATGCAAGCCTAAGGAAGCGAGAGGAAATCTGGAGATTTCCTGGTGGATAAAAGACCAGTGCAGAGAAGAGGGGTTTAGTTTTATGGGACATTGGGCATCCTTCTGGAACAGGTGGGACCGGTACAACAAAAGGCAGGGCTGGACCTTAACCAGAGGGGAACCAATGTGCTGGGGAAACGTTCAGTAACTGAAGAGGATTTAAACTGGGGAACTGGAGGGCAGGGATCAGAAAAGCACTGGGCAATACCAAGAACACATTACTCACCCATTCTTAACTGCTTACATCTAAATGCTAGAAGCATAAGGAATGACATACAGTTTTCATTGTATTTGGCATACTGCACTACTTGGACTTAACATATTGCATTCACCCTTGACACATAACAGCTCTATTCATATTTAGTTTTTTCTGAGTTTATTTTACTCAATTTCTATTGCATTATTATCCATTATTATGTAACCTACTTTTGTGATTTTTATCCCCCTCCCCCCCAAATGAATGCGTAGAAAAGACACTTCATTGCCAGCAACTACTGCTGTATGCTTTATCGTTGTGCATTTAATAAATAAACTTTGATTGATTGAATACAACAGGCAATCATGACATTACAGCAGTAAAAGATAGGGCTAGGCGAGTATGATGGGCATGGAAATGAAATTAATATGTACACATTTTCAGAGAGGACAGAAAAAGTGGCGATGTTGGGCAAACATAACCTGCAAGCTAGAGAACTGAAGGAAGACGGTACAGGCACTACAGAATCTATATAGGTTCAACTGTGTACAGACTGGAAAATCTCAACTCAAAGGGCTTATACCTACAGCCCTGTAGACTACTCAACACAGATATACAAGAAGCTACCTGAGCCTCTGATGAGATCAGAAAGGTTTGGAGTAAAGGTGACATCACTAGGAGATTTTAATTTTCCACAGATAATTATATTAAGAATACTCAATATTTGATTCAGGTATTCAAAATCCAAATAGGTACAAACCAGGTTCCACCTAAGGGACTTTGCAGTCGTAGCAGTGAAACAAGGACATGGGGGTCACGACTGGAAAAGTAAGGACAGGAACGAGGAGACATTTCCTCAAAGAGCCTTGGGTCACTGGAACCAGCCTCCCAGCCAGCTGATTGAAGCTTGAAGCCCAAACTCTGGGCACTTGTAAGAAACAGCTAGATAAAACACTGGATTCATTTAGCTGCTAAATTAGCAAATAAGCAAGATGGGCCAACACCCTTGCCTGTCATTCGCCAATCTTTCCTATGTTCTTACTTGCTCTATCAGTAATCCTAGTTTAGCTGATACCTTTATCCAAAGCAAATAAGGTTACATAATAAAAAGTTCGCAAGACAGTGCCAAAAAGTTTCAAATTTAATGCATTGCAATAAGTTGCAAATTAAAAATGACAAAAACATACCAGATATTTTGCAAGCATGCTGACCATGGAATTCAGATGTTATAGGCTGTTTAAGGTTCTCTACATCGCCGGTCATTCACATGGGTTATGCAGACAGAAATAAAATATTGTACTGGGTATGTTTTAGAACAGGAGTTGCAGACTTCCTAAATCCTTTGCCATTGTGTTTTAGAGTAATTACAAGTTGCACCTGCCAAAAACTGTATAACCCAAACAGAATTTTTCCCTTTCCTTTCTGCCTTGAATTTGCACATGATAGCACCTGCACACAACACCAGCCTACTGCGTGTTTCACCATGTTGCCCCAAGGGCACCGTAACACCGCACAAAACATGCATGACGTGTTTTTTCATGCATAGACGACAAGTGATAGTACAGGCTCCAAGTCACTGCCTGTTCCACACAAACCCATATAAGCACCTCTCAGTCCTGCAAAGTGCTCCTTAACCTGAGCATGTTACCTTGATTATTGTTCCAGGCCAAGGTGTGCTACTGTCCCAGGATGACGCAAATCGTTATCCAGTATGGACCTGGAATCTGTGCCATCTATCCACATTATCAACATTGCATCTATAAATATATTTAACAACCTGCCATGTCATCTTGGTAATAATTTACTTCCTTTAGAGAACAGTGTAAAATCTATACATCCTTGTCTTTCTTCAGGCTTTTCCATGGAAGACCATTTATTTCAACAAAACTTTTTTTTTTTCATGGTATCTTTGATACTATACATAATCATCAGCCAACATCAAATTCCACAGCAAAATCAAAATCTTCTTTCCTTCAGAAGGTCAACTTGACACACCCACTTGCATGTGAAAATATAACCCAACGGTCCATAAAAACACTTTCTAAACAAATAGTAAAACTTATTCCTTAAAAAATAATAAAGATAACCATGTATACTCCTGTTCTGATCAGAGGTAAAAAAACTGCCTTCTCAGAATAGGCTCTCCACACAAATTAGGGTTCATATAAAACTATTAAGTCATCTATTGAGCTTCCTCACCCAGGCACTGATAAAGAATATTTTTTAAATCGGCTTTCCTTTGTTCTTGGAAAAGGACCCTCACAACTCCCGTTAAGCTCTGTAAAGGATGTACCGCTCAGTACCTGCTGCACTGGCTTGCTGTCAGTGAAGGAAGTATTCATGTAACAGACCTGTAGAAAGAAGAAACACCCAAGTCTTCAACTTAGTGTACAGATGAAACGCAGTGCTGCTAAATTTAGCACACCATTGTTCCCTTCGTGATTAACGCAAGTATTTCCGTACTGTAACTGCAGGCTATACTGACTATGAAAACAGGATTCTGATTTACTGTAGGCATAAAAGGATTTTTATAAAAAATTTAACATACCAAAGAATTCCAACATTTTCTCTCCCATTGACATAACTTGGTTTAAAATAGTTTGCTATACTCTGTGAACCAAAGAACATTTGAGTCTGCAGGTTAGAAACAGTCACTATTATACGAAGGCAGTGAAGAGGTAGGTTAGAGGATAATGAGGAGCATTTTGCATACAAAACAAAATATCAGATTTTCACGTGAAAAGACAGCAGGGTAATCACCGAAGCGCTAAGTTGTCTGTAGCATGGGAGTACCATTCAGGGTTACCAAATGCTAAACTCACAAGCAAACGCAAAAACATGCATTTGCAAAAGGTCAGGCGTAACACACTAACACCAAGCACGCAAGGGTAACTGATGAGTGCTGAAAATAAAAATGACCCAAGATAAGGCAAAGCAGATAAGGCAAAACACTCTCATCCTAGAGCAGAATTTGCACTACCAGACAGCCCCATCATGACAGGACAGAGTAGGCCCTTAGAGGTTACATGGGACCAGCTGCCACAGAGCCAAGTAGTCCAGGCAGGAAGGTTCCCCTCATGTGAAATAGCAGGCTGGATAGGTGGCACTGGTACCCTGGCACAAATACCTGTACCTGTCTCTGTGCACATAAAAAAAACAACAGTTAAGACTTTATTTGCAAGATATGTACAGATACTATGGCAAAGCAGGGAGATCCTCTGTTTATGCATGTCTAATAAATAAACACAACATCAGAACATTCAAAAGGGGGTGTTTTCCCCCCATTCAGAATTGCATTTTAATTTGTTATTGGAAAATTAACTAAACTGTCTAACAGCTTGTAGTGTTACAACCTAACCATTGGACAACAAAGTAACCATATCCTGACACAACCATATCCAGAGCATGAGGAGACTTCCTTGTTCAACCTGTTGATACTTCTACAACCTGCAGCTCAATAAATGAGACCTGCTATGTGCAACTGCTTCTTCCCTGGCCTGGTCTTCTCCACAGGCTGACTGGAAGAGCATGCATTTGAAATTCACACTGAGGAAGCACTTCTGGAAAGGGAACTAAATCCACAACTCCTCCTTATAATTTCTAAGCCACCAAAAATGTGTTAAGTAAACTCAGCTTTCAATGTCTTGCAAATCAGTATCTTTTATACCCCCAGTGTCAACAAATCACAATTTCAACACATCTCACTTTCCTCCTTCTTTCTTCAGGTGCTTTGTGAACAGAAGTCAGCTTCGGCGGCAGCCATGCTCTTCTCTGGAGCAGAAAGACCAGTAATTATTCCACGCAGTAAGGCGTTCGAACTTGGATACAAAAACATTCTTTTTTGATCTCTTGCTTGAACAATACAACACGGTATAGAGAGAGAATAAAGAATGTTAATGACAATTTGAAGGGTTTTTTTTCCCCTCACTGTGCAAAAAAAAAAAAGCAATAGAATGAGAATCTGCAGATCAGTCTGTACACAGACAGACCTTTGTCCCTTAGTGCTGGTGTCTGTGGGTAGCACTTTATGTGGAGAGGCAGCTTTTGAATGCTTAATTTTTATTTCACAATGAACAAGTGAAATCAAACGTGATAATCCTAAAGTGTGGATTTAAGGCCATTTCAAGTAGAACACTGAATGTTAAAGAATACCAAAAACAAATGTAGCTATATAATGTGTTACAATGATAAAAAGAGCACACACTAGGGTTAAGGATCTATTTCTTTTTATTGTAGAAAAGATTGCGCAAGCGAAGTAAATAGCTAAGCCTTCCTTGTTTCCTTATTAGAAATGCCTTAACAAGGGTCACAATAAGCAACAACAAGGATTAAAAGCCATGTTGCTGTTCTTCCTCAGTTTTAAGTAACAATATACAATTTTCTCTTTAAAACATTAATATTTACCAGAGTCAAAGCAGAACCCTGTAACTGCACTGACCATATTCTACCTGTGCTGCCGCAGAGATAACATGGAAAGGCCCTTAGTGTGTGAATAAAAAAATTAAATTGGACCTGAGGGCACTGCTGTGAGAGGTGATGTAAAAGTGCTTCAGACTTGATCATTTTACCTCTCCAATTCCTAGATGAAAATGCTCAAACAAAAAGGGTTTCAGGATCCTTCCCGAGTTGTGCCTATTATCTTGTTATTCATTGAACCGACATTAAACCTCCAATTGTTTAAGCTTGTGTCAAACAACATGAAGAAAAGAATGCAAGAGGCCGAGTTCAAAATGGATTGATTGTCTTCAGAAAGTTTGGTACCGAGATCACCAACAGATGCAGAAAAGCCACTGCTGACACTAATAAGGAGGGGCAGAGTGCTTGATCTGGTTTCTTTATTTCGATATTCTCTGGTAAAAAAAAATGTTTTTTACAGTAGATGCAGAGGACGACAATGTGATTTCAATTTGCAGAACAATCATGCTAATTTATTGTGCAAGTCACAGGACACTTAACAACCTCAAATTTCTCCTTCAAGCAGAAACAGAAGAGAAACAGTAAACTAATCTTACATTTCAAACCCAATCATTAGCTCATTCTCTTTCAAGCTAAAACCTTAAGAGGTGCTGCTTTGTCACATTCAGATGATATGCCCATTTATACAGCAATTTGTATAAATCATGATCTCTGAAACAACACCTAAATTAACATATTCCCTTCTTTCTTTACAGTCGCTGTAGAGTAAGCAAGGACCTCTAGCACTGATGTCTAGTATTTTTTGTTCTTGAAATTTAGTAGATGGGGATGCATCAGTCTTTTCTGACACTTCCTCTAGAATTAACACTTGAGAAATGTGTTGCAAATAACAGCAGTTTGGCACTAATGTAACGACTGGCTAAGATAGTCAGACGTGTTAAAACTCACTCAAATGAGAAAAAATTAATACACCTTTGTAGGATTGTGGACTTAAAAAAATAAAACCACCTACTTTTCAATGATTTGTTGGAACAGCCTTACCATTATTTTGAGAGGAATATGTCAAATCTCCAGACTGTCGCAGTTGCTGAATAGACTGGACCTCTCTGACAAGACATTAGGATAAGCCGAAGGACTCTCAAGATGCGATTTAGAAAGAACTGGATATGTGCAAAGACAACAGGCTAGATATACAACGAGGATTCCATTTTTGGTGGAATGTTATCATGTAGAGAAAATGTTGAGGTAATAAGAAGAATGCAGAATACAGCACTGCCTCTGCACAAGACTGATTTATTCCAGGCCACGCCAATACTAAAAAGTTCAATACGAGCACTTCTTAGTGTAATATAAAATACAGCCCCCTGTTTTTCTTCATAGCTTGTGGGAGACAAATCTTGTTTATTTTATTCCCTTGTCGTATGTATTCCAAACACCTCAACAGCAATGTTTGCTATAGAACTACTATCAAGTTTAACCCAACAAGGCACGGAAACATCTGTGGTATATGCAGGGCTTCTAATATTTGCTCAAGAGTGAAAACGTCTGAAGAGCACGGATGCCTAACTTCAGAAATGGACAAGTGTTACAGTGTGTATGCGCGCAACAAGTAACATTTTTACTCACATCGCATTTAAATTAAGCAGATAGCACCCGTGACATATCAGCTACTAAAATACATCCGTTTTTTAAATTGTAACTATTCATTTAGGATAAACTCAAGAGTTCTTAGCCTCTGGTTTCAGCGCGATGAAATGAACCTTCACAGCTCTGAACTGGATGTCCCGTCCAATTAAACAGCAGATCGAGTTTTTCCTGTTCCTGCTTGGAGTTGCACATTCCAGGCAGGACCAGCACTCACAAAATGACTTGAATTGCGGGGTTCTACTCCAGCGCAGACACCCCAACCCCTGACTAAACACCTGGAGGATCTATTCGTCCCAAAACCAAGCAGCAGAAATGACAACACGGAAAGCAGCGTTGTTCGTGTTAAATTCAATCTCAAATAGCTTTATGGCATGACAAATGAATTACAGTGCTGCCGAAGCAGATACAATAAACGCATACACAGACAACAGTAATCACCCCTTTCGTCATTCTTTTCCTTATTGATGACGTAGACGGCTCCACTACTATAAATAACAAAAGAATCATGTTTGAACAATATAAAACACATAAATAAGTTTTTTTTAAGATACAAAACAGACTGTGCATTTCAGCTGGCAATATGGTTCAGAACGCAAAAATAACAAATACAATTTGTCACACTACCGATCCGATCGTCTGGTACGTGCTACACTGCCTTTAACAGGGCGTCGGATGAATTCACCATCCAAATCCAGAACAAATGCAGCGAAAATACTCAAAACATGATTTGAGCTCAGCTCCGAACGGCAAGTGAAAAAAACGGCAGTTTATTCAGCTAGCAACAGTATAACTACAGAGTATTTACAAACACCACCCAGCGACTCCGACCGTTGCGACTCGGTTTCTAGTAACGATTAGCCACAAGCATGTTAACTGTTTCGCGGCCAGCTGTAGAGGATGCTCATTACTTAAAACCAAATATATTGTTGCGGCGGTCTTGATAAAACATGAGAAGTTCCACTCGGGCCTAAACCCACTCCGAAGAGAGTGCTCCATTTCCCCGGTAAATGCCGTTTACCTTATTGTCGCTGGTGTCCATGGTTGGCGTGACAGATCCACTCCGAGTGCGTGATGGGCTGTCAGGACACCGCGGCTATTTTCTTCATTGTCAATTTCAATCTCCGTGTTGAAACACACCCAGCCTGTGCAGCTCTGACAGCAGCAGCTCCACCACTCAGTTCCTGCAATGGAAAAAAAATGAGTTTCTACCGAAGAAGCACAGGGGGGAAATTAAAGGGGGGCGGAGAGTCATCTGGGACGGTGGCTCTGCTGGTACAAAAGTAGTCCGACACTCCCTCCGCCGCGGCGTGAAGCGCTAGCTGTCAGGAGAATGACGTAACACGAGCAGGAGAGTGAAAGGGCGCCCCGCAAATTAATGTGAATAAGTTATTAGACAAGTCCTCCTTAAAAACTGCTTATGTATTATGTAATATTTTACTAGTTTTATGTCTATATATAGTGTAACGCTTACGGCCGACAAGCACTGTGTGTAAGAGCCGGCGTACCAGAGCGGGTGACGTCACCGCCCTTCCCTGTGATAGCAGGACTACAGCTACTGGGCTGTAGGGAGATCTCTCTTTAGCTCACGGGGCTAGGTCGCTGCAGAGAGACGCGGAAGTCCCGGGTTCGAGCCACCTATACTTTGGGCCGACCAGATGCGGCAAGGGCGCCCGCCTGAGCCCCCGTTGCGTTACAATATGTTATTTCCCAGAACGGGAATAACAAAAATTGTCATTGTTGTAGTGAAGAAATGAAACCCACAAATTGTGCAGTTTTGAACGCAGATAAAGCTCTCTCCGTGTGAGTGGTGCAGACACCTACATTCAAATTAATCCTTAAGAAGGGGGAACCAAAGAAAACAACTGCTGTGCACAGTTTTGGAGAATATCAATGCAGAGGTCAAACTGTGACGTATTTGAGCATCTTGATTCGGCTGTCAAATGTAATAACGTATACAAAATGTAAAACCGTATCTACGACCAAAACAGAATGTCTGTAAATATGAAGTAACTGTCAAAACGCTGGAATTTGCTATAATTAAGCACTAATTTCATGTAGGGAAGGTGCTCACATGCTGCAGACCTAATTGTTGTTTTCGTTTGAACTTGCAAGATCTTTCTGAAATTCGCAGCCTGGAAAATAATCTAAGTGGTGAAAAACAACTCCCTCAGCGTTATAGTCAATCTCGAAAAAGGTGTCCAATTTTAAGCAACTAAGTCAGCATTTTAAATTCCCTTTTTTAATTTTCATATAACCGTGTATTTATCTACAGTATGTGGTTACCGTTAAGCTAACACATACTGTACTCTCATACAGTAGCTCATTTAAAATGAACTGCAGATTCATGTAAGATTTCCCTTATTTATAGTTAACTCAGCTACTTGATACAAACCATGATGTATGACTTGGAACAACTACTATGTGAAAACATTTTCCCCCTTAAAGTTAGGATGTGCTAGCCTACTCAAATATCAAAACAATTTTACAAAGTGGAACAACAGGTCAGACTAGGAAATACCTGCAGAAAGATGTTCATCAACTTACATTGTGAAATATTTTAACAATGCTGACTTTCCAGATTTCTATAGCTTCTGCATGAGGAATGAACAACAAATGACTTTTAAACTCATGGTTGCGGAACAAGTGTTGGAATTAAGCTTAACCAAAGAAAGTGTTTTAATTGATTCCGAACACTCCCAAAAAATAATGTATGCTCTTACAAAGTATAGATTATCGATTGTTTGGCTCCTCCACAAAATCCACAAGACTGACAACCCCGGACGCCCTATCATTTCAGCATGCAACTGTCCCAGAACTCACATCTCAGCCTTTCTCGACAGCCTTATGAGACCACTGGTTGAAGGGCTTCCTTCATATATCAAAGACACCAACCGTGCTCTTCATCTTTTTAATGATTTCCAGTTTCAGGGCCGAATGTTTCATTTTTACCATGGACATCCCTCCTTATACACCTTCATTCCCCACAATGATGGCCTTACAGCCCTCAAGCACACGCTGGACAAATGCACAGTGCTTGATCCACCTATCCACACTGTTATACGTACGTCTTGCAGAATTGGTCCTCACACTGAATGCATTCTCGTTCAATAACCTTTTTTATCAGCAGGTTAGTGGAGCTAATAAATGTGTCAACTGGGCAGAAGAATGCCTCTTCGGTTCATACACTGGCTTTGTCCCTGAGCTCTACAAGGGATAAATCGATACACCAACTGCGTCGGTGCTGCCACATGCTCTTATGACCAGCTAGAACATTTCCTGCATCACTTCACCAACTTCCACCCATTTCCTCCAGTATACAGTTAACATATCTTCCACTACTCTTCCGTTTCTGGACATAAACCCTTCTATTAACCATTCACGACTCTCTACTTCTATTACAAACCCCAGATTCACACAGCTATCTTCTGTACAGCTCATTTCACCCCGTACGTACTTAAAATTCTCTTCCTTTTTCACAGTTCCTCAGGCTCCGACGACTTTGCAGTGACGATGTAAACTTCCAAAACCAAGCCCTCAAAATGCACTCTTTCTTCATTAACGGAAGATACCCAACCTCTCTCCCGAGCAAAAAATAGCCTTCGGATCATCAACTCAATCAGGAACTGCTGGACTCACAACTGCATTCCATTACCTACCACCCTAATACCCCTTCTATCCCCAGAACTTCCCCATCTTTCTGATGATCCCTCCACTAGTACCCTTTTTCTGACCGCCCTATCATCTCATATAGCTGACCATCTAATCTGCTTAACCTTCTTGTTCACAGCTCCCTTGACCACTCACAACAATCATCCACACCAGGCACCTTGCCCTGCAACAGAACTCGCTGCACCACCTGTAAATATATATCCAATACTACAGTACGCACATTCAAGGCCCCTCTGGACAATTCCCGATGACTCAGATAGCATCTTGTACCTCCAGCAACCTTATTTACAGCAACTCTTGCAGAAAATGCCCAGCTATCTACACTGGTGAAATAGAAGGAGACTAGGAGACCATTTCAGGGAGCATGTCGGCACTGTGTGGATCAAAGATCTCTCAAAGCCATAGTTTTTCACCTCTAATGGCCATGATCATACCAATCTCTCCGTCTGCGTTCTCAAAGGGTTTCAGAACTCCTATACCAGAAAGACATATATAAACAAAAACTGTCCTAAAACTAGGATCACACCTTTCCTTCTCTCGATGGCAGACTTGTTTCCTTCTATTCCTATTTATTTGCAGGTTTTGACTTCAGACCACCCAAGTGTCAATTCGGCTGCTCTTCTGTTTTGGACTCCTCTCCACTCCCGGTTTTTGTTCTCCCATGCCTTTTCAACTGTCGATTTTTCTCTCTTTCACGTCTGAAGAAGACTCCACAGCTGAAATGTTCTTTTCTCCTTTTTTCACCTGTTCACCTATTTTTTTGGTGTGCAACGCAATTTCCAGTTCATATTAAACATTCGGGTATAGAAAACACAGCTAGCGCCACACAGGTTATTTACTCTAATGTTCCTGTACACACAAGAAAAGGCAACATGATCGGTGAATCCATACCTTACATGCTGTTTTGACGAAGTTTAAATGAGTCACATTGGCGTTGCAGAGAACAGTTTATTTCGACCACGTTTAGATCACATTCAAAGACATCTCCCTATTTTCTTAATCACTATGTTTGGGCTTCCTTGTGCCATAAATCTATGAGCTCTTCCTGGTGCCCTGCACACTTCTCACATTAGCTTTGCAAGTACGTAAGTGTATAGCTATTGGAAGATCTGGCTGTGGCAGGTAAGTTTTATTGAGTGCCTGAGCAACTCCCAGAAATTACAACAGTCCTATGCAGAAGAAGAATGTTTGACATTCACTGGAAGTCAGGAGAGAGCAGACCTCATTTTCCAGAAAAGCTCAAATATGTTAAACACCTCAACAGGTGTCTGCACTGCAGCAGAAGTCAGGAAATACCCAACATGGATATCTTTTCTGACCCCTTACTGTTTTTGTAAAATATTTAATTGCCCTTCCTTGACTAGCTTTGCAGCAGGAAGGGAAGACTCATTAGCATTCTTGTGAACAAAATGGATCGTTCAAATATTTAACACATTTTCCTTCTACTGCAATGTATATAGTTCTGTGTTCTGAACAATACTTTTGAGAGTGTTATCTATGTAAAATTAAACATCTTTTTATTTCATCTTTAACATATATACTCATAATGAACTTAACGTATTACACTGGACAAGTTGATTTTCATTTTCTAACAGCTTAATCCAATCCAGGGTCGCAGGGGAGCCAGAGCCTATTCCAGAAAGCAAGGGGACTGAGACGGAAAACACCATTACGGGACACAAGTCCGTTGCAGGGTACGATAACCAAACAAACACACTTACACCAGGGGCAAGTTTCCCTCAAGTGAATTAAGCTACCAGTATGTTTTGGGACTGTGCAATTAAAGTGGAGCACCCAGAGGAAACCTATGTGAACACTTCTCACAGATAGCATCACAGGTCCACACCTGAACCCAGGATCCCAGCATAGTGAAGCAGTCATGCTAACCACTGCTCCACAGTAAGTCCTTTAAAATCTAAAGGCTGTAAATTGTGTGCTAAAAATGCAAGATCCCAGTACATATCACTAAAACATGTTTAAGATGTAGCTGGTGCAGGGTAATTGTCTTTTTCTGACACTGTGAACAAAAAGTGAACTTTATTTTCATACTTTGCCTTTCAAATGAGAAGGAATGATTTTTTAAAATGCACATATCACAAGCAAATTAGGCACCAGGTAAATTAGGACTGCACTGTGAATATCCTTTCTACTTTGACCTTGTGGCTATAAAATCCAGACAAGAACCATCCCATATTTTCACGTAAATATAAAACAGAAGCACGAGTGTTAAAATTAGATCATTTTTTAAGAAAAAAAAACAGGCATTGTGCATTTCTTGCAAAAAGAAAATACAATATTTAAAGCATCACAAAACAAAATAAAGGAACTTAATCGGTGTTAAACAATGTCAAGCTGTACTGCTTTATTTTGCTGCTTGAAAACTAAAGTGGCTGTACGCCACTGAAGAGGGAATATTTTCTAAATTTTTAACTACAACTGCAGGTACCGAAAATCACGGCTTGGAAATCGTACATTTTGCAGAATACAGCAAACATGCTGCTTTACACATGAAAAAAGTGTTCAAAGTAAGTATACACTTCAAGTTATTGCAGATTATGTTTTAACTTTTTTTTCTGAAGAATCCTACAGGTAAACTGTTCTTTTTTAACATTTACCAAAACAACGTGTCAATGTGTGTTTAAAACCATGACAAAGTCTTCCATCTGGTCATTCGATTGCCCTGGATAAAACACTATTACATTGGTAAGGGCTGGATGTCAATACAGCGTAATCCCATAGAGTTTTGGTTTTCTTCTGGATATTAAAGCTGTTTGTCTTGGGAAACTGCAGCAGCAAAACACAAACCAGCTGATTAAAGAAAGCACTTCTGTCAAAGCTCCAATATTCAGGACACATCAACCGATAGTAGTTCTGCCATTCCCAGTTGTTTGAAGATTAACATCACTGCATTGCTGCTTTAAGTACTAATAATAAGACTTCTCAGTCAAGCCAGCTTACTAACAATGGCCTGGTTGAGAGAGTTCAGTTGATTTGTCCATTTATCTAATGCAGTATATCGGGCCCCTCCTCTTTTCTGGTGATCCAGCTCCAGCAGCTGGTTGACTTGATCAATCCGGCCATGAATAGTGCTGAAAAGAAAAAAAAAAAGCACAGGTATTTACAATGACGCCAACTCCAAGCGCAAGCTTGTGACTAAAGTGGCCACCTATCGAAATCAAAACTGATTGCATTAACCAAAACACACACGATTTCTGAAAACAAACGCAGGAGACTTAGGCCACATAAACAGTGGCATGCAGGCACACAGCCAGAACCAGTGAGCCTGGATTTTGTTTTCTTCCTGGTTTCTAAGCTGCATTACTGTCACAGTTAAGGTTAATCCTGCAATTTAAACAACCTGTGCCTGGAAATCCATTATGGCAGAAGCCCGGGTAAGATTTTCTCACATATCCTGGAATAAATTGCACAAATAATCCTCTATTTCAGGTGGCAAATGTAAGCCCAAGGAACCTGCTGTATTTTGCCAGCTGATTAAAACAGCCCAGTGTACTCCTGGCATTGACGTTGTCCAAAATACTGGACTGAACTTTTAACTCCACGAAGTAAAAAGAATGCTGTGGTGCAGAGACAAGAGAAAAATACTGAACTTACTTGTCCAATATGCACTGCACAAGCAAGCTCTCTACATCCGAAACATCAATGTTCAACTCCTTCAAAAAACATGAAAGAACAGACAATGATAAAGGAGTATATACAACAAGTTAGGAATTAATATACAATACAAGTGCAGAGACACTGTAATCAGATCTCCATGAAACATCACCAAATTTCCCACGTTAAGAACAAGCTTACCTTGGAAATAAAAGGTATGTGTATTCTAGTGTAAGGCTTAATTAATTTTATGAGCACTTGTGTTCTGATGTTCCGCAACAACTCTGTGAGAAAGATCAGAGAATGCCATTACTCAGAGACTCAGCACATTTTCATAGGCAAACAACTATATGCAAGTCAAACACACAGTTCTGTTAAATACACCTGTGCAACTGTTTATTAACAAAGCCTGCATTTTCTTTATTTAATTGATAGGGGACATTTCTTGCATCAGACAAATTCCAGAACATACACTCACCTTCAATGTGCTCCCTTATAAAGGGATCATCCATGATGTTACTGTGATTTGTTTTCAGGATTTTCTCAAACTCGGTGATGTCATTATTCTGGTAGGCACTAGGAAGAAAAATACATTCATGTGAATATCAAATACATACAGTGTGGTTTCACCAACTGCACAGCAAATCAATTTCAGCTAAACCTTATTCAGGAACCTTTTTTCCCCTGTAAGTGGATAATTAAGCATTTGTTATAAGTGAAGGAAGGAACTGTTAATATGTTCTAAATATTCCATTGGCTCAACATGGAAATAATTAATTGTGAAGAAAACAAGTCTCCTAAACTGTGCCCACCTCACGCAGAATAAGATAACTTTCCTAGGCTAAACCACAGACTCCTATCTGTTTTGCTTTTTAAAATTAATGAGACGCACATACTTTAAATATGTGCTATCATAAATTTTATATTTTTTGAACCAGTGAAACTGTTATTTAAAATTAGTTCAGTTATAAAGGAGCATGTCAAACAGTTCAGGTTTAGCAAAAACCTGTCAGATTTCACAGGGTTAAAAGAAACCCGTGCGGGCAGTCTACTGTACTGTACACTTGCTTAGAAAAGCACAAACAAGTCCTACTGCCCAATGGCATATACAGTGGATTACACTGGCTGTACAGCTAAGAAACATACAAATATTTTATTGTGAAGACTCAAAAAGGGTCATGGAAGAACGATTCAAGATCTCCTTACCTTACTAAATTTGTCATTGCAAGAATCTCTGGATCATTTTTGTAAGGTTTAGCCTAAATGTAAAAATTAAAACACAAACACAAATGATCAGAGACAACTACATCATGAGAAATCATTAACAAAACATTATAAGCCCCTCAGACAAAAAACAATAGTCCAAAAGGTCAACAAAATATATTTTAAAACTCATTTTAATAAATAAATACCTAAAAAAGTGAATAACCAACGATCACCCAGCTTTCAACACCTCGTCAAAAATACCTTTGTTTTGGTACATTTAAACAAAAAAACAAAAGAATTAAGGGCCATACCTCCTGAGAGTCAAATGGGTTTATTCCCGACTTCATTAGCATATTTGCTAAAACCAGGTATTTCAAGCAAGTTGTTCGTCTGGGACTCCCTGATTCATCGTAATTTTTGAAAGCCTCAAAGAAATCAGTGTGGGCTTTCTCAAATTCCCCTTCCCTTAAGTGCATCTTGCCTCCACACTCTGAAAGTCAGAAACAAATGACCTTCTTGTTAGTTATAAAGCAGCAAGCATGTCATTTAATACATGGAAATAGTCAAAGAAGTTTGCATCTTGCCAGGGGAATTTCTAACAAACTTAAAAATTGCACATATTTATAAAACATTGAACATGCGAGAAAAAACAGCAATTTCCTTGTTGTGGTACATTTCTTTAAACACCACAGTCTTAGAAGTGTAGGTTGCTTATTTAACCCCGAAGCTAATGGCTCTACACTGTAAAAACCTCAACCAACATGACTGGGAGCTAAAAACCAAAACACTTCCTTGAACTTTTAGCCAAAATATTCAGGCAATTTAGTTTCGAAACGGCACTATAGGACCCCTTCGATTTACTAATAACCAATTTCCACAGCAACAAGAAGTGCACATTTATACTCATTTTGCAACATACAAACATACTTTCACAAAACAAATTCCTTAATTGGCGAGCATCCTACTGCAGGAGAAGAAATACAATATGTAGGATAACGTCAAGCTTCCTAAATCATCTGCTATGTATGCGTTACAAATTTTGCTACAAGCACGTACATTTATACATGAAAACACATACAACTGTCCTGTACTGCTTTTTAACTACACAAAAAAAGTATGAAAACTGCAATTTTCAGGTATTCAGGATCCATATAATTTCACATTTACACATTCTCATTGGAATTAATTTTTGATTCATAACTTTTAGCCAATGAATCTCTGTACTTCCTTTTAGAGCACTATGCAATCTGGATTTGTAATTTCCAACTAATGCAATTACAAAGTTTGCAATGCCACCTACTGGTGAGCAGTGGAATTTCATGCCGGTTTGTAAATAACCACATGAAATAATCCTGCATTTTGTCACTACAACCTTACACAATGTCAACCAAATACACCGAATATACAACACATACAGGGTTCACAGGGAAATCTTTCTCGGGAGCAAAAAAAATGGTACTGATATTGTCCTGTGCTGCATGCAGATCTCTTTACCTCTTATGACACCCATGATCAGTGGATGAGGGATGGCAGACTTAATGTGCAAAGACTGCTCGTACAGTGCCTTCAGTTTCTTGTTGTTCTTCTGTGCAGTGTACATCTGTATTTCTAGAGCATAGATTTCCAGCAGCTGTGTGCCTTTCTTCAAATCATCTTCTCCATCGTCCGTCTAAAAAAACACGATGGTACACAAAATCCTAACAAGCAGCATTTATGTGGCTACATGCCAATCGTGCAGAAAGAGCAGGAACCATTTTGGTGCAGAATCTGAACTTCCGGTACTCTTTAAGAAAACTGGTTACTCAACACATGTTTAAGAAACACTTATTAGAAAGTTCACTTTGCAAAAAACTGAAGGTATACTGTTAAGTGACTACCTGAACAATTTCAAGGTCAAGTTTTTATAGGTGCATGATCTTTATAATAAAAAACAATGAGATCAACAGATATTCCATACTGTATGTGGTCACTTTTTGAAAAGGTGATTATAAAGAAGCCCTACCCTGAAATCAATATTTTTTTGCAAAAAGAGCCATTTATGCTTCATTTTAAGACTGTTAAGATAAAGACTATACCTGACAAGACTGGTGCAGTTGTCTCAGTATCTTCTGAAGCTTTCCATATTCTTCCCGCTCTAAATACAGCTTTCCAAGCTAAAATTAATAATTCAAATTATAATTATCATATTATAATTCATTATTGGCAGGCATGGAGATTTCATTTCATTTTTCATCCAACTGTACATTCTGAACAGTTAAGTGCGTAATGTCATGCATCTCAAAAAGACACATCTGACTTTTAAATCAAAAGCAGGTGGATTAAAATCTTTTGAAATAGTGGACTCCTATTTATCTTGGTCTATTTTTCTCAACTTTCTATGTATGCAAGGCCACTTAAGACAGTGTGGTCTGGTTTTTATGGACAACCGGTCAGTTAAAGACATCACAGCACATTTTTGCATAAAGACCATCTTCCATTCACAGAACAGTATAACAGAACCCCAGACAAGGCCCCTAGACTAGGCAGACTAGACTTTACAGCAAATGAGGAAGACTGTTTTGTTTTCTTTATTATAGTACTCTTTTCCGTTAAAGGACCCTGCAGGTCCTTCAACATAAAAACCTGTAATCAGTAGTCAGTATTACTAAAACATTCAGTGTACTTTGTATTACTTGATTTCTGTCTGCCCTGCAGTTACCTTTGTGTTCGTTTTAAACCACAGTCTGTCATTTTTCGCATCTTTTAGTGCCTCCAGGGTCGTTTCATAGAATTCCTGTAGCAAGTCCATCTACAAAGGAACCATAATGATTTGTGAGAAAAAGAGGCACCCAGCTGAGGTATGAGTCAGTCAACTCAAGCAAATATAAAAGCAATGAAAAAAAACCTTATACATTTTCTGGGTTTTTTTGTGTTGGTATGCTGTATAGATGTCCCAGCCGCAGTCTTACCAATAAATGTTTAACTTCTTCTACCAAGCAATTTACATTACTATTTTAACATAACAGACTTACAATTCACAAAGAGTTTACTACTCAAGCATACTCGCGACCTGTATGCAGTGTATTTTTCTTAAGGTTGCAGATCACACCTGTTTTGAGGTGGAGATGTAATCAAGGATTGAATTAATAGATTTCTCTGAATAATTCCTTGTGACGGCACTCCGGATGTAGGTGAGTAGCTGTTTGTACCTATTCATCATCTCTGGGTAGTTAGTCTGTAATACAGAGAGAAGACAGCAAAACCATCAACACTAATAAGTGATTTCTTCATTACACATTGTCACCATACTAAGGAGGAATGAAATCTGCCACTCCCCCTAGTGTTCAGTTTAAATGTTTACGGGTTACAATAGTGTTTTAACAATTCAAAAATTAAACTATGAGTGTACTATTAATGCATGACAATCTCACGCTAATAATGTAAGAAATTAAGCTGGGAATTTGAACTGTGGCAAGAAAACAAACATGGTTTATATTAAAACATGCTGCTATTTGTTATTTTAAACAGCACACTTGGTATAACACTGCTGTTAACTTCATTTACTTAGGAAATAGGGGCTGCAGTGCTACAGCTGCTGTTGTTGTTGCAGGCCTCTAATGAGTGACTTTCCGTGACACAGCACTAAGTTCGAGTGCCACAGAGCTGAGGAGCTCCAAAAACTCCACTGTCAGCCCTTTCCTCTAGCATCAAATTTAACCTCTTCAATGCCAATGCAACACAGCCCAGAACAATCATGTGTTTAAGTATTTCATATGACAGCTCTGACGTTATAGCACAGATTACAAATGATTAAAAGTCTGAACATGAAAACCCTAGGACTTAGAACAACTTTTCAACACAGAACAAAATGAAGGAAATATCAGCCTCATCCGTAATCTTTATCCAAGTGTCTCCCTGACCTAAAACTCATTACTTCATATTTGTGTTGTGTCAGCAGCGTGTAACTGCCTCTTACCAGTTTGAAGTTTATTTTAATCATCTGTTTCAGTGCTTTGAACCCCCATTCTCCTTTTTCACCTTCAAGCTCCAAAACCTGCCAGAGAGAAGACAATCAAGCTTTTCAGATGTATATTAGGAAACCGCTGTAAACTGTTTTAAGACAACCAGAAAATTACCCATGGAAGTCAGTACAACAAGTTGGCAATTTTACTCCATCCATACATGAAACCAGAGCTATATACCTCCTATTAAGAGTCATAGCATATCAGAGCGTATCCTGAAAACAGATTGCAAAACAGGACTACACCCTGGACAAGAAAGTAGCTAGCACATAACAGCAAGCACACACAGTCACAGGAACACTTCAGAGACTTTTACTGCATTCATGAACTTAAAGCCTGATAAATCAGTGTAGTACACCAGAATGGTGTTTAACTGTTACCTCTTTTCCCACCTGATAGTAATCACTGATTTTCTTCAATGCTGCAGCAGAACTCTCATTACAACAGTGCAATTTCAGCCCTGAAACTCACAAACCTTCTGGAAGCTGCTCAAGGCTGCTTTTGGATCATCCTCCTTCAAGGCTTTGGAATTGTAGTACTGGTTCTCCAGATCAACATTGGGCTCAGAGTTGCTGTCTTCTGAGTATTCCTTTAAGAAAGGGAAGAAAAGGCAATTAACCCTGGACAAGGGTCCACAAAATCTAGTAAATAAGGCAGTGGGTGAGCTCATTTAGAAAACTAGGATGCTCAAAGAACATATTAGGCATTCAATACAGAACTATGTAGCTCTGTACAGTTGTATAGTTGAAGTAGTTCAGGTGGGCAGCTGCGTCAGAATACATAGGCTGCAAAGGAACAAGTAATAGGTTTATTCCATGCTGAAAAGAGAAGAAAGAAAACAATGTTTCGGCTGTGGAGCCTTCTTCAGGTGTGAGAAAGCTAAAGTAAATCAAGCTAAGTAAAACCGTTTCTTACATCCGAAGATGGCTCCACAGCCAAAACACTTATTTTCTTTCTGCTCTATTCAGCATGGAATAAACCCATTACTTGTTCCTTAACTGTATAATTGTATAGCTAGATGAGCTATACAACATGAAAACAAAGTTTTAAAATCTCTGTTTTACACAAACAAACACATTGTGAAGACAAAGTAATAAAGATTAATTATCAGTCCTTTTAGGATCTTCTAGAAATGTTTGGCACCTTATAGCAAAAGAGACAGTGCAGAAAACATCACACTACGTTTACAGTCTAAAAGAGTAAAAAATGTTTCATGGCACATTGTTAGCCAAAAAGTGATATAAATGTGCAGGAAAACCACTGTGAAATACTATGTTTAATGCTAAAATACTAACCTGACAAAATCTATATTATGTAGTACCTGAGTGTTACATTTTTATAATGTAGAATTGTAAACATTTTGTTTAAAAAAAGCAGAAAGAAAGGCTATTCACTGAGTTGCCAGTAAATAAATGTGAATTTATCAAACTTACTTAAAACCTCAGGTCTTTAAGATATTTTGATCTAAATTAAATTGCAGAACTGCTCATAGAGGCAAACCTTCACAACAACAATAACAATACAGCAGAAATACGACTATCAGCTCACATGAACTAAAGAATTTTCTAATCTTTGCCATTCATCAACTTAATAAAGAATGTCTATTTAGACACCATACAACTTGCTACTAAACAGAGAATGTTAACCACGGCTCCGGTGTCTGGTGAAAAGCTTATCTTAAAAGACATTTATCAAAAATCTCTAAACTGAATTTATGCAAGGACAGCACAGGTAAAAATCTGTGATGATAAAGATAATAAAAGTGAGCCAACACTGGTGCCGATTAAAAGCTGAGCCCTATCGCTGTTTAACAATTTTAGAACTTAATGCATCCGTGATGTAACTATTATCAGCCGCGACTGAATTGCCTTTAGCCTCAAGCGCGTCTCCTCCCCCGGTGTGTGTTATGCGATAGTCCGTGTCCGTCAGAGTTCGGGTGTTTCTGGGGGTACAGGAGATCGTACGCCCGGAGCCTCCTCCGCTCTGAAGACACAGCTGGGAGGTAAACACAGTATCCGGCCGCTGTGCAATCCGTAGCTGCAGCAACTCCTAACGCACATCCTCCTCGTTTCATCCAGGCTAATTCTGCAGCGCTCAGCAAAAACGCCAGTTTAAAACATTTCTGCCTCAGCCTCAGGACCTCTCTTAGCGGGTTGATCGGGCCCAGGCTGAGCTACCCCTGCACAAGCATTGACAAATGAAGCAGGCCTGTTCGCCTTTACGGACTGAGAACAGCACGAAAGGCGACCGTGCATAAATAAACGCCGTATGCAAATCTGGTCCTTTTTAACATTATAGATATTTCAACATTCACTTTGCTGGAGATGCTATATGGGTTGAAAAAAAGTACACCAAACATCATGAACACCCCCATTTCCACAGACAGCAAATAGCCACTAGCGTCCAATCCGAAGTAAAAGCTGACATGATCGTGTTTGCAGTTCATCAACTATTAAAGACCAGAGACCTCTGCAATGGGGGCAAGTCTGTAAATGACAACCTCGAGCAGCATCAAATAACAAGACTCATTTTTTTCATCCCTTACCAGGTCATAATCTTCCTCATCGTCGCACATGAAGTCATCCTCCATGTCAGACATCTTGACTCGGACTCCGGGAGTTCAGACCCAGTCCTTCCCAGCATCCTCCGCGACACCGACTCACTGGTGTGTGGTGCTGGGAAACTCGTAGTGCGCCTGCGCTGGACTTCAGTACAACAACGTCCTTCCGGGTGCCGGTGAGGAATGTTGTTCTTCTTGACTGCCGTAATTGTAAACTACAATTATTCTTAGCACTATAAAAGAAATCTATTATATAGAAGATATATTCAACTATTATATAGAAATCTATATAATAGCTGTACTGCACGACCAAGTTGAAAAGACGCAAGCTGACCTGTCCTTTATCCTTAGTCGTAATGTTGTTATAATGCTCTCAGGCACTATTCTTTGATCAACAGTAGCTCACCTGTGCTACTAATGTATATTATGCGGGACATCCATGATCTATTCTATTCTACCGTTACTTGTACAGCATAAATCTTTGAAAACTCTCACATCTATTCACACGAAGAGAATGTATATTGAAACACACAACACACAACTTCTCATTTGCAGGTTACAGGTCCCCAGGCTAGAATACCTTGTTCATATAATGTAAATGAAATAATCAGTTTTCCTAACTTAATTGACACATTTTCGTTATCATATTTAAACATATAATAATGTGGATTCCATCTAGGGATCTTAATGTGTAGTATTATGCGAATTACCACTCTGTCACAACATGATGAATTGGAGTTTATTAACTGGTTTTCGTAGTTGAAGGAAATTGAATTCAGAAACAAACTATTTAAATTAAAAAGTAAAGAAACGAAATGTTTATATTTTTCGATAACTGTAGGATAAAAAATATTAAAAAATGCAAGGGTTTTGCCTTTACCAATTTCTGTACACGTCCATAGTCTAAGTTAAATAACTAGCTACCTAATATACGTTTATATGCTGGCAACATTTTACTGCATGAGGTATTCGGAACATAAAACTGTTCGTGAAGGTGCACTCAGTGTTTCACAAAGGCGACCTTGGCAATCCAGTAAGCAGAATAAACAAATCTGAAGTAGCAAGCGATCTGAAAATCTGATTTTTATTTTTTTTCTCCACTCAGATTTCTCTTAGCGACAAAATTCCGAATTCTCTGAGTATTTCGACTCCTCATGGTACATTGAACAGGATTTCCGTGTGCTAACAGTGAGCTGTATCCGGAAGACCTTGGTGTGACTGTCAGCTGATGAAGTGATTTGAAGATCCAAGTATCTTTACTGTAAAATAAGAAGTTTCACTTGCTGGCATATTGATTACCTGGATTATTTCCAGTTTTGATATTGATAATATTCGACGTAGTGAACGACTTCTAAAGAAAAACTTATTATGGCTACAAATGCGCCTGCAAAGCTGCAGGTAAAACCGACTGAAAATGAGAGGTAAGTTAAAGGTATAAAAGTTAAAGAAGTGCAAATGTATTAATAACGTAACGTTTAAGTATCGCAAAACAGGAAACGTCTTTATTTTTTAGTCTTATTCCCTGTTGGATCAAATACTTTTCAAATACCGAACTCAATTTTAAATTTAATACATTTCCACATTTTTCCAATTACAACGAAGTAATAGCTTCATTTTGGTTTACCAAGTTTCCTCTTTGAAATGCATTAGCGGTAATACAAGTGCTTCAGTAGCTGATGATAGTAAAACATCATGAGAACTCAAGACAAATGAGGGATATTTAAGTTTTTCCCACCTCTATAAACTACTGTCACAAGTCTCGATCTGTTGTTTTGGTGTTGTCCATCATGAAACGTTGTTGCATTTTTATTGCTTCAACTGATCAATAAATTCAAATATTATTATTGTCCGGATCTTATTTCAGTATTTCTAGCGCTGTGATAGCGACAGTAGAGTCATACTCGAGGAGCTGTCTAGTGCGTGCACTGAGGCATTTAAGTAGCTCACAACAGTTCTGCAACTTCAAGTAAGCGATCCTCAATGAAAAGCTAAAAAGCAAGAACATCTTGCGCTTCGCGTAAGCCTTTAAGGACAAGGTTCTTATTATAAACCACACTCCCACTCCAGTTGTTTAGATTTATTCAAAGGCTTTTGCATTTCTACTTATTAAGAGCGACACTGTAAAGGTTTTCCATCAGAAGTACCACGTAACTCACAAAGAAATAACATCTGCGTTTTGCAAGGATATGCGTCTATAACACCTTCAGATCCGTAACAAAATATCTCTGGCCTCTTAGCTTCGCTTAGCTTAGCTCTTAGAGTAGCTTCCTTTTTTGTTTTTAAGATATGTACTAAGAAAGACCCCCGTGTCTCCCGTGAGCACTCTTTAGCGTTACTGAGGAGAAAGAAAGGTAAGCCATTAAGTTAGCCAGGGAAAGGGATTGCACATTGTGTTCTGTACATAAAAACTGAGTTAGAATAGGGTTTGTGAAAGAGGAATTTGACGAGCAGAAGACACCAACCAAAGAAAATGATCTTTATCGATTGCTGGGAAATTCAACATCATCTAAATCATGGGATGTCCTGCTGCAAATGCAACCACTCAAGGTTTTGAATTTTCTACTTCTGTTTCCTGTGGCTGATTTTCTATACATTGAGCAGTGTGATTGTCAGTGTGCTTTCTATGAATTGATTCTGTCTTTTTAGGTTCCAGAAATTGAAGGAAAAATTCATAGAGAAATTTGGAGAAGACCCCGTTTTTTATGCACGAGCTCCTGGCCGAGTAAATTTAATTGGTAATCTTTTCTTACTTTGCATTCTTTTTTCTTCATTCTGAAGTGTTTGAAATAACTTAAAACATGAAATTATATTTCCAAAAAAACTATAGGGTTACTTTTGTAATATATTCAGTTTCCTCTTGTGGAAACATTTTTAATTCTTCTTAATGCTGTAGTCTTATAATTTGACATTAAGTTGAAGCTACAATCTAAAATCCCAATTCTCTTAAATATTTTAATAATCAATTCCTTGGATATATGGAGAGAACATAATGTAGACCTGCCCTTTTACAAAAAATGCTAACATTTTAAAACTGTTCTATTTTGATTCGTGCTAAAGTCCCTTTATTGTTATAGGAGAACACATTGACTACTGTGGATATGCTGTACTACCCATGGCCATAGAGCAAGATATCCTAGCAGCTGTGTCCCTCAGTAAGACGCAAACAGCCCAGCTGGCGAATTCAAATCCCCTCTACACGTAAGGACATTAGTTACTGGTTAACATACATTAAAATACAAGTCCTTCAATATTTTGAAGAGTGTGTCAGTAAAGAAATACTTAATAAATTTGACATCAGACAATTGGTGTGTGGAAAGTATTTCTACATGTACTTTGTTTCCAATGACAGATTTTCAGGGTTCATTTAATAACCTAATCATTCTTCAGGACCATAGAAAAATGGAAATAAGACATTTAAAGAAGCCATTTTATATGAGAAGACATGGTAAATAGGGTTTGTTTTTCTATGGCTGAATATCTGTTTAGTTTTTGTACTCTGGTAGTGATGTGCAACGCTGGCCCTCCAGTTCCCTAAAGTTTGAGAGGTAGCATTCAATTAACACCTGAGTAAAACCTGGGTAACACAGCTTATTTGACTTATCTACCTGATTGGTGCAGTGACACATTTAAGGCTGAGAAGGAATGAAGTGCCTTCCCTCTGTATTATGCTGTGATACAGACCCTGTACTCCATGATCCCGTAGTGCTCGACGGAAGCTACAGATCCATTGTTTACCACAAGATGTCAGTATTTTACCATATGTGAATTATCACATTTCACTCCTGCTATTTTTCAGGGACTTCAAAGTGTCGTTTGAAGACGTTCAGATTGACAAGTCTCAGCCTTTATGGTATTACTATTTTCTTTGTGGCCTGAAAGGAATACAGGTGAGAAACATATATACAATATAAAAACAATAGATATTTTCACTTCAACAACAACAGACCATTTTCTTCTATATTCCACACAGGAAAGGTTATGGCATGAGATTATTTCCAATATCATTTTAATGATACATCTGAACAGAACAAGACTGATATGTGCTAATTACACATCTAAAGGGCACTATGCAGTTGCGCTTTTCTTTATATACGATTTTATGTGCTATAAATACATCAAGTAAGTAAAACATGTAATATCGTACTATAACAAATATGATTTTGGGCTTATTATAGAAAGGCCTTGTTGTATTAAGATGTTATGATTTCTGTTATATGTGGTATTTTAAAATGTTAAGAAATGGTTTAATAAAATGCCCCAAAATGGCATTCCTTTCTGGTAGTGTGTTTGTTCATTCACATATGCGGGCAGTGTATGCCTGTGCTTTCTTAGAGCTATGAAATTAAAGTTACACCTGTGTACTGTACATCATTTAATATGATTGGGGCACATAAATATATATTTTGCAAAACAATTACTGAGGTACAAAATATGTGTAAGCCATTTAACCTTTGACAGTTTTTAAAGGAAGTAGATGCATAAAAGCTACAAAATTCCAGCTACTGTGACTGTATTGAGCTAAAGATAATGACATTTGGAGTCGAGTCTGAAATAGCAGGAAATGGGTTAAACTAGCGTGTCTGCAATGAAGTTTAATTTCTGGTTAATATTCCTGTCACTGTCTAAATGTGTTCCTCTGCAATGATAACATCGACTCGCATGTTCTTGGCATTAGTGTCCACTCCACTTTCTCAAATATCAGGGTCACACTACATCTTAAGCAGATAGAGTAACCGTGGTTTATATTTCCTGATTTCTCTTGTTTTTTGTTCTGCGTACCTAATTATCTTATTTCTCTGTGGAAGGAAGAAGGATTAGAGACTAATGCAAAATGCATTCGTCTTTTTCTGTTACTAGATTTGCAGCCAAAAGGACATCAGGAGGATTAGAACAATATTGTTTGGTTTTGGGATTGTTGAGGAGAAATTCCTCTAAAGTATTAGTGGTCCTCCGAAATAAATGCAATATTTGGTTTGGTTTGGATAAGCTATTCTTTGATACCTAAGGAAAAATAATAACAAGAAAAGGACATAATCCAAACCTTTTCTGTTTTGACGTCTAGCCGACGGACTATTTGAAAACAAGGTCTTGTACTTTCATTTGCTAAAATAAGAACAAGTTATAAACATGTTGTAAGAGATATCTGTCATGATTTTAAAACGTACAATCGGGAACGTTTTAAATTAAGAGTGAATGAGTTGAGCAGGTTTTATATGGGAAAAAAGCTGGCAGAAATGAAATTTAGCAGACTATGATAAACACTTAAAAGTCTGGTGCTGATGGGGTCCGGGGGGGATCATCTGTTTATATTAATTTGAGCATGTAAGCCCATTGGGATGCAACTACAGCGAGACTTGTCTGGGCTGATTTTCTTCTCCGAAAACTGGAGTCTATTTTTTTCAGGCATGGCGTGATAACTCTGAAAGTCCGCTTCACGTTTGAGACAACCCCATGGATCAGGTTCAGTTTCAATATATTCCCCACGTGGTTTGAGAACTGCAGTGGCTGCCACCCTGTAGGAAAGGGCGCAGGCAGCAGCATCATTCTCGGCCACAATCTGCTTCAGTCTCTGGAAAGGGAGTTTGAGAGCGTAGTCAGTAAAAGACTGAGTTGCAAGAGGTTGGGTAGAATACGGCCTCCAAGCTTTACATAAGAGGCTAGAAACATGTGCTTTTATTGAAAAAGAAAAGAATAATAAAAACAGCTAATTTCTTTCCTGCACGCACATAATATATATTTAAAATGTGCTGCATTTTTTCTTTCTCTGTGCTGAATTCGATGCTTTCTGTGGGGGGTATAAAAAGTTCAATATGGCTCAGAAGTGAACCTGTTCTGGAAGCTAACCTACCCTAACAAGGTGCTGAAATGGAGGAAAAAAACACCTTTAAAGATTTCAGTTTAGGTTTTCCTCATAGTATTTCAGTGGCGTGCAACAGTATTCAGACCCTTCCTATGGTGTCCCATTTTATGATATTTAAAAAAGATGGATATGCATTTTTTCATGAAGGCTCTAACTGAAGACAGGTTGCACTAAATATCAATAAAGACTAAAGAAAACAAAAATATTTTGATTGCATAAGAATTCAGACCCATGAACTCAGTATTCAGTCGAAGCACCTTTGGCAGCAGTAACATCTGCAAGTCTTCTGGTGTAAATTTGTACCAACTTTGTATACTGACCTTGTGCAATTTATGCCTATTCCTCTCCTCTTGGCAGATTTGCCTAAACTCTCTCAAGTTGCTTGGGGATTACTTATGGAGTCGTTTTCAAGTCTGTCCACAGATCCTCAATAGGATTCAATTTAGTACTTTGACTGAGCCACTCAAGGACATTCATTTTCTCAAGTCACTCTAATGTAGCTTTGGCCTTGTGTTTTAAATCATTGTCCTGCTGAAAACTGCTGGTTTGGAGTCTTTAGCAGTTTTCTTTAAGTATTTGCCAGGGATTTGCTCCATTTATGTTCCCATCAGAATTGACAAGCTGATAAGTGGCAGAGATATAATTTGATGTAATGCTGCCTCCACCGTGCTTGACTTTAGGGATGGTGTTGGCTGAGTGATGCACTATGTTGGGATTGGATCAGATATAACACTTTGCATTTAGACCAAAAATCTGTAGTTTTGTTCTGTCTGTTCATAAAACCTTTTGTCACATATTTGCAGTATCACTTAGGGGCTATGTCGGGATTTTAGATGCTTTTTTTCAGTTCCATACACCTTATTTCTGGCCATTTTCTCTCAGCCACTGAGTTGTGTAACTTTCAAACTCATCATTGGCCTCATGGTGGCATCCCTAACCAGTTTCCTCTTTGTCCGGCTGCTCAGTTTGGAGGGACAGACTTGTTAGTGATCAGCTTCACCATGTTCAAAGTGATATTAGCTTCTTTTTGATGTTTTTATACCCTTCTCTTTATCTTTGTCTTTATAAAACTTTATTCCCGTGCTCCTCAGTCTTCATGGCTAAATCTTGGCTTGAAATTCACTACCTGACTACACCTCACAGAGACAGGTGTATTTATTCCCAAATCACTGAAACTACTTTTACTGCACCACTCAACTAATAATAAACTCACCTAGATTAGTTTAGGTTCACCATAACAAAATGGAATGGTTATGACTGCGTATAATGTATTTATTTTCTTGTTTGCTGCAACTGTGTGGAGTAGGTTGTGCATCTATGCAACATTAAGTGCTGCTTCAAGGTGCCAAGCATGCACACTTTAAAGCCACAAAATGTGAGAACAGCACCAGGGTCTGAACACCTTTACAAGGCACTGGCATTTATCAATAATGGAGGTTGTTTTTTTGTGCAGCCTCTCCCCACAGCACTTAAAAATCCCCTTTTCTTGGTCTGTAGGAGCACTTCAGCCTCAGCAGTCCTGCAGGGATTAAGTGTGTTGTGGACGGGACCATCCCCCCCAGTTCTGGGCTGTCCAGCTCCAGCGCACTTGTGTGCTGTGCAGGCCTGGTGACACTGGAAGCCAACGAGAAGACTCTTTCCAAGGTAACGTTCAGAAACTGAAGTCTGCCTTATGACTGGGGCTGTCCCTGTTAATCCAAGACAGTACTTCAGACTCAACATAGAATCAGAGTCCTGGAGACAAGCGGTAATAATGTACTGGCTAAAGTACTTGATGGAGATTAAGAGGATTTTGTTAGATGCAGTCATGAGAGTGTGAGTTCAGCAAGCCGTGGGGAAGTGGCTGTTTCACAGAATTTCCATCAGATTTCCTTGAATCCACTCCTGGCTGTGCCTTGTGTATAGCTCTGCAGTCCTGAAGATGTGTTACATTCTGGACACAGGGTGCTGTCTATGTTGAGTTTGTAAATTCTCCCCTGGTTCTAAGGCTTTCCTCCAGATACTTCTGTTTCCTCCCACAGTCCAAAGACTGCTAGGTTAATTGTCTTCTCAGAAAATTGGCCCTGGTGTGTCTGTCTGTGCATCAGACTGGTGTCCCATCCAGGTTGTGCAGGTGTCAGGTGACTGACGGCAGCTGCTTATGCGCTATAGCATTTTGGGGAATGTAGTTCAGACAAGAACTCCCTTTTTTACTGAACTCACTGCCTTCTCACACAGGGCCCAAGCTGAATTCTTAACAATCAGTCCTATAAAGGCCTTTTTGAAGAATTTCATCCCGGGTTAGAGTCTTTTATTGTATAAAACTCTAATTATATTGGCTGTAATCAATGGTGTACTATAGGAATATTTCAGACCTCTGCAGCAAGACGTGGAAGTTAAAACTTGACAACATTAAAAATGTCAACATTACAGCATAGCAATTCATCGATCTGACTGCTTAGTCCAATAGAGGTTCACAGTAAGCAATGAGCACTTGGCAAGATAAGCCCTGAACAGGACTCATCCATCACAGGACACACGGACTCATGCAAGAGACAGTTTAGACACCATGTCTTTGGTCTTTCACAAACCCGCATGGTCACAAAGAGAACATGCAAGCTCCACACAGAAAGTAGCCCAGACCGGAATTGTACTCAGGATGTAGGAGTAATGCAATTCACTGTTCCAGCATGCAGGCTATGTAGTTATCGAGAGTCCCAATATTTATCCAGACCTGTGAAATCATGAAGAAGCTGTGCAAGCCCGGAAGAAGAGACTCAGAATGATGTTAGGTGAATTGAACTGAATTTGCTTAAACTAAACAGAAGAGTATTACTGACAGTGGTGTTCACACAACCCTAAGAAGAAGTCATTACAGAATTACTCCATCCTGATCTCTAGAGGCTCTTGACATTCAAGCGTGACGCCAGTAGGAAGCTGTGCCATTCCATGCTAAAGATATAATCAAATCGAGATTATTTAGCTTGTGTATCATAACAGTTCTGCCCAGGCTGTAATTGAAATTAGCACATTTTACCGAAGTGCCCCTGTGCTCATTTCCCACCCCCAGATAAAACCCTTGTGTTGCAGGACCTTAGTCTACGCAGATAAACTGCGTAGCATAATTCTTTCATGTTCTGTAGCCATCAAACTTATATGTGATTCATTTCACAAAACTTTGTATTTAGTATTATTCAAATGTCAGAAATGTATACAAAGGCTTTATCTGGCGTTTAATTTTCATTGCCAAAAACTGTTTTATGCAGAACCTAATGACCGTAATAGAGTTAATGTAATCTTGTTTTTGACAGTTACTTAAACATTGCCAGAACCTTTTATAATTTTCCAGCATGGCATTTGGCAGAGCAGTTCCTGTGTACTTTTCACAGCATGTTTCTTGATTTTTATATTCCTCTAAATGTGTTTTTCAATTAAGTGCTCACGAAAGGCTGCTGCCTCTCTGCAGACCTGGGCCAGCTCTTGCCTGGGGTCATATCTGAGCTGAGTCCTGCTGCGTTTGCACCTGAACTTGCTGCAGATGCGTGATGTGGATAGCTGTTAAGTTAATGACATGTTTCATTTTTATGTTTTTTATAATTCAAAATCAGGTGCTTTTATATGCCAGGGCTAGAATTCGTGAGAGCGGTACAAACATTTATGCGTTTTGTCTGGCCCACTTGGCTCAGATCACCAGTCCAAGGGTCTCGTCAGGCTGCATCTTAAGGGTAGTTTGTTGCAAACACCCACCACTCTTTGTATAAAGAAGGGCATCCTCTTGACAAGAGCAAGTGCCACTCCTGCACTTAGTTGAAGGACAGAGGACACACACACACTCTCACACACTGCTTTCTGTCTGATTGGAGCTGGTGGTGAAAACTCAGCAAAGGGACAGACAGGTTTCACCAATGCCCACACTTCACAATGCGTCATCTTTTGGAGCACACGAAAACGTGTGACTCTTTTTTGTAATTATTGACATTTACAAGTCATAATGAACATTTTTCTTTACTGGCAGTAAGTCAGTGGTATGAATTATTTCCCTTCTTACGTGTGAATAAATTATATTCGTAAGAGCAGACTTTTGTTCCTTCTGAATTGTATTTCAAAACTCATTTTTATAGTTCCACCCGGAGCAGGAGGTATACTCATTAGAACACAAAAGCATTTATTCTGAAAAGGGGGAAGGTTATACTTAAGTATATCATTGTTTTGTGTTTAGGAGCTGAGGCAACAGTTTTCAAAGACACAAATGCAGTAAACACATTACCGCAATGAAATGTCCCTTCTTGCCAAAGTAAACCGTATGTTCAGATAACATTATATGACAAACCCACTGTTTTGATTTTGTGCTGACATTAAAATGGGTACTTAACAGCATCAAGCTGTTTTGTTTTGTTTTCATTTAATGTTTTTCTCTTTTCTGCTCAAAAACTGTTCGAAATAAAGAGCAGATGTTAAGTGCAATGCTTGGGTCACATCTTCTGCACAGACCTCGGCGATCTGGGACAGTCTCTCTCAATAAATACTGCAGTAGCTCAAGGCTGCGTCTAGCTTCAAGCATCTCGCCATTGAGAAGGCTGATTTAATTTCTATAAATGCCATTAGCTCAGAAAAGAAAACTGTGACTGAAAGCAGTTCACACAATTCAAGTTACTGGAAAGCAGAAAAATGAGTGGAAGTGAGACACCAGGCTGTCAAAAACTAAACTGAACTCATTCTTTTGCCTCCTGAGAAAACAGAGTTTCAGAAAAAGCACCATTTCAGCCACTCTGTCTTTTGTCAGGTTTTTTTTTTTTTACTCTCATATGTATATTTGACAAATAAGAAATTAAAGTAATTTACTGTATACCTTGGTGTCACACCTTGAGTTTCTCTGTTGACCATTAAATAGGTCTGGAGACAGAACTCATTCTGATATATGTATTTTTGCATGAATATATGATGCTAGCATGTTGGTGTGCAAATACATTTTGAAGTTTGGAATTTGATCGCTGGGATGTCCCACTGCAGATTTTTCTTAAGGAAATTTTGGGGTCTGTTGCTTGTGTTGCTATATGAAATATAACTGCTGGAGACCTGGGTACCATCTAACCACTGGTATATTTCAGAAGTTAAATCCAGGGAACCAAAATGGTGCAGACAACTATATCAATTTTAAGAGGAATATTTAGGATTAGGTTTATGCTTTGTTTCAAACAACAAGCAATTAATTGAAAATGTTCAGCTATGTGAATTAATTAAATCTGACCGACTTAGAAATGTCCAACTGGCTACGTTTCTTCATTAGACTGAACTCTTTTCATTTCATTAAGCTAGGTAAGCTTTAAATTTAGAAACAATTTCAGCATCTGTTCTTTAAAATTGGTAATTGATTAATACTGCGAAGTTTCACAGCATCATCCCAAAATAACATGCTACGAGCTCAGTAGTAGGGTCAGAGAGAAGCTTAAATCCTGTGAAAGGCAGTGTCTGATGTGTAGCCTGGAGCTGCCTGATGTGGCACTTGGATCAATGGGTCACATTGTCCAAATGAGTGATAATAGCCTTTTAGCGGTTCTTAATTTCTTAAAATAAATGCTGCTGCATTTCAACACTTTACCAAATAAACAGACCTGATAAGTAAGGGTACGTTAAGAATTAAATTAAAAAATGAATGGTCTGGAGAGATGAAAGAGACAGTGTCCTTTGGATATATGCCCCGAAAACCCCACACATCGCCTTGGTTCAATCATACTTCTGGTGAGAGGCTCTCAGCACCTTTCCAGCTGGACAAATTTAGCATCAGGCAAAGCTTTGACAAATCTGTCTGAAACATCCTCAGCACAGCTAGTCCTCCTCTTGGCAGCCCCTCCAGCAGATGATATAGGAATTTCAGACGGCCTGAGAAGTTCCAGACAGCGCTGTGTGTTTTTCCTGCTTTTACAGAAATTAAGCATCCCAATCTGAAGGGGCTTTTCATGACATTTATTATAAGATGAATGTTCATCTCAGTTGCCGTGTGATTTTTTTCCCTCTCCATGAGGTAATCCAGTGTAACAGTTTGCTAATTTGAATTATTGCGTTTTCCGTTTAACTCCAGTGTCACAGCTGAGAGGTTTTGAATGTGAGTGTTTTTTCCCCCCAATGAGCTAGGAAGCTCTGCTGTATGAAGACAGAAGGACAGCTGGGCAGACTGTCAGCTGTTTCAAGAACATGCCCCAAAACAGCTTTGCAGACTTGATCCTTGGCCTTTGCAATCTGCACAATTATGCTGTTTCACTGAGGGAGACCTCATTACAACTTTATTTGTTAAAGTAGTGATGGTTCAAGGGCCTTCTCACATATGGTTAGTTTCTTAAGAACCACACTTAGTTTACCAGGAATTATGACCCTAGAGACCAGCCAGGGAAAATAACTATTTCTTTTGCAATCAAAGAAACTCACTTCGTTCACTTTGAAGGGAACTCTGGGCTTTTTCATGGTTCATTTTTTTCTGAACTATACTTTTTAATAAAGTAAAATAATCTACTATGTTTTATATTAAAATTCTATCAGTATTCATATTAACTGAATAAATAGTTTATCCCACGTGTTTAGGTATAACAGAAATTCAGTAGAGTTTTTTTAAACATTTAGTGCAAAAGAGATTTTAAATGTCACTGCACCTGGGAAGTAGTAAGAAAGAC